ATTTTAGTTTCCGGACAATAACTTGAGAATGGATCAATGGATTTGGATGAAACTTCATAGAATGGTAGTTTTCTGGAGAAGTATGGTATAATCTATCAGGGGTTTCACTAACATTAGCACCTCTTCAGAGAGAATTACTTGTTACAGGTGAAAAAAAACTTACCCTACGTCTTAGTGTCTCTAAGTTGTATAACCTGAACTATCCAGCTCTAACTTGGAGTAACATTCTGTATGTACATCAGACATTTCACTATCATAACTCTGAGTTTCAGAAAAATTACCTCTTCTGAAGTTATCATGTGAGAAGGGGCTATAGCAAGGTTTTCCTCACTGACCTTAACTCATGACAGCCTGACCTAGTCTCTCATTATATCAAAATTTTTTTTGAAAGTAGTTTTTACAAATTATGAGTATCTTTCTTCACACCAATCCTGGTCACAGCACCAATTCATGCCATAGGCAGGTTCAGGAGGTGAGAGTTTGCCACATATTAGACTTTGCATTGTATGATTGTTTTAGATTTACTTGTATTACAGATCCAAAATAAAGTAGCTAGAGACAAAATAAGTGGCCAACAGTGAGCTCTCAAGAGCACCAACTGGTTCTTTTCTCCTGATTAGTTTAAGTGTTAGATCCACAACAATATCAAAGTTTAAGTTCCACATGTTTAATATCAAGATCAAGTGTATGGCTCAATGAATTATCAATAGAAGTAAACAAATGTATCAACAAAGAAAAATTAGTTAGATTTGGTGTAAAGCCAGTAGCAAAATATTACTTACTAAAATTAATACTAAGAATAAACTGAAGAGGAAATAGAATCTAAATTATGACAAAATGAAAGACATGATATAGGTTCATGGTTCCTGTGCACTCTCCACACAAACTACTGCCTAATTGGCCATTTTTGATAGCAGCCTGGCCTAAATGATGGGCTTATCCAGTGGATAACTTTCTGCCTTTGGGATGAACAAAATGTCCAGTCCCCATTCCTTGGACAGCCCACATGTTTAACATTATGTAACCCTTGCGTATGTTCATACTACCTGTACATGGTTAAGCTAGTCACTAGTCTAACGACAAATAAAAACGTATCTCTTGCCCTGGTTTCAGAACATACAATATTTCCCAGCCTTTGAGAAAACTTACGACATGATTGTAAACAACTGTCTCTGTTCTAAGTGTCAGCAAACTAAATAGGCCTAAACATGCATAATTAGCACTTTGTGTTTTAAGTGTAAGTGTCTAACAAGTTACAAGGGCTGCTTTATAAGTTTTGAGCCTCATATTCAAGGGTTTGACTTTTGGCGGACATATCACATTATTTTTTCAATATAATCCCCTTCGGTGTCTATACACTTTTGCCAGCAATGTTTAAGGGCCTCAATGCCATTTTTAAAGAAGTCCTCCACTGCATGTATGACGTCATCATCTTACCGAAAGTGGGTACCGGAAATGGCTTTTTCCAATTTTGGAAATAGATAAAAGTCTGGCTGAGCAAGGTTAGGCAAATAAGGCGGATGCTCAATCAATTCAGAGGCCACAATGGTTAATGGTAGCCTGGCAATGACAGACTTGTGAACAGGGGTACTGGTGGAACAACACACCTTTATTGAGCTTTCTGTGGCGCCAAAGTTTAATATTTCCTCTTAAATGCCTAAGTTGTGATGCATAATATGTGCCATTGATTGTTTGTCCCTTTCTCAGATAATCTACCATCGCAATACCATCAGCATTTCAGAAAACCGTGGCTGTAACTTTTCCAGATGATGGAAGTCTTTGCCTTCTTTGGCGGGGATGAACCAGAATGCTTCCATTGTTTAGACTGTTGTTTGGACTATGGGGTGAAATGATGGACCCACGTTTCATCCATAGTCACAAACCTCTACAGAAAGTTAGCAGGATGTGTGCTTCTTATCAGCTGTCTTAGTACCCAATGGGCTGAGAGCTTTTTCGTTGCCAGATCTTCAGTAAGAATGGAATGTAGCTCTTCCGTGTGAAATCCCACTGTACTGGCTATATATCTCTCTGTAACTCATCAGTCAGCCATAACAATATCATGGACTTTATTGACTACTTCTGAGGTTGCAACAGGCCTGCAAGGATTGGTAACATCCCCAAGGCTTGGCCTGCCACGGTTAAATTCTGCCACTCACCTTTTTCACTGTAGCATATGAAGGAGCGTTATTCTTTAGTGTTGCTTCCATATAAGTATGGATATCCAAGGTGCTAGAGCTTACTTATGCTTACTTATATTGAATCACTGCTCTTTCAGCGGTTTTGTCCATTTTGCAAAAGTCATTTGCATTGTTTACTTTAGAGTGCTACCTCTTCAACATTAACTGCCCAAATGACACCAGTTTTTGGGGACCCAGCCTGAAATAGTCAAGGAATAGAAAAGCTGAAAACGACATTTCTGTTTAACTTCTCCAATACAAGACTTACAACTCATCAATCAGCTGTGGTTTCAAGGAGTCAGTAATAGCTGCAGAAAACACACTCAAACCTGCCTAATCTCTTACAGGATTACTTGGTTGGTTGGCTGAATAAAGGTTTTCTGATTCCTTCATTCGCTCTACCTCTAGGCGTTGTCTCACCAATAATGTCAAGTGTTCTGGGGATGTAACATGGTGAATTGCATTCCTCTCACAGGGTGACCTGTCGGTCAGGATGTCCAAAATATTAAGTAGTAGTTTTAAAAGACTGCTTCTGGGCCTTATGGTGCCTTGTCCTGTCAGTGTCATAGATGGCGTTGCTGCATGGCACTAGTTGACTATAACCTTTCTGGTTGGAGCGAGCAAGAGTTGGATGGGGCCTACATCTTGATTGAATATAACATAATTTTGATGTCAATCCAATTCTTTAATAAAAAATGAAATTTATCTTAACCCTATATCTTTGGATTGGCATTATCAGACATACTCTTTTTCGAAAAACCACAGAAGGGTCTTTATCATGCATAGGTGAACAGTCCTCATACGGGCCACCGTTTAAAGTCCCCTCTGCTGGACTACAGGTGCAGTGATAATTAACGCTTGTTATTTTGTTTTCCTCATCTTGAATCCTTTCCAAATATTTAATTGAGTTACTTTACCACTTAACTAACATACATATGCAACTTTTATTCCCCTTGATCTCAATGAACCTTCACGGATTGAAACTGAAAGTAGTTATAAAGACTCGGTGACTGGCTCCACTACTGAAACCTTGACCAGTCACAGCACGTAATATGACTGTCCGAGTCCACCTCACAAGATGGCCGACGTAACAACTAGAAGCAGACACATGTCAAACTGAGAAAAGATGTCCTTCCATGAACCCCATGCTGAACCCCCAGACTTCTAATATAGTGACTTTGGGTACATACACCTAGTAAGAACCACAACCACTATAGGGTCACTTGTCACTTAACAGTTTAGTCATTAAACTAACATTACTAGCCAAGTCACAGATGATGAAAATTTTGTTTATACCTCAAGGTAAACCTTCATTAGATTATCTGTAAATAACCACTGGAAGATTCCAGGAAGTTCCGATGGAGAACCCACAAGAATTATCTACCCTGTTTTTTTTATAAATATCTATAAATCCTTGTTGAATATCCATGAATCATTATTGATTACCAATAATTCATTGATGAATATCCATAAATGAACTATGGATATCAATAAATGATTTATGGATATTCATTGATAGTGGCTATTTTTTTACTTTGGCTTGCCAAAGTTTCATGTGCAATGCGGCAAAACAATGAGCAATAATGGAGCAATCAGTCGAAATTCACAGTAGTCAGATGTTAGGAATTAGAGCCAGCAGTGAAATTCTCTCACTAAACAGTGATTCATTCAACTTCTAACGATAAATCACAAACATCCTTCACCGAAACTTGCAGAAGGGAGGAAAAAAATACACAAAACCAGTACATGTGAATGGTTTACATAAAAAGCATATATTTATATCTATATTTGACATGTTGTTTTAAGTTATTTTAATATATTACACCAGACACTGTGATAAATTAATCCAGCCCTCATTTTAGCAACAGAAGAGCGTGTCTTATTAGAAAGCATTTATTTTTATATACACAGATGAAATGATCATGTAATAAAATGTTGGTTCAGTTGGTTGGTTTACATCTAAAGCTATAACTTCCACAGTTGCATGTTAAGAAACCGTAACCAACTGATCATGAGATGTATAATTCTTTAAAAACATGTTAATTGCTTCATTCTTCGTCCATCACATGAATTTTGAAGATGATAATTGATCTGAAATTATTACTTCGAAAAGAATTAACAGAATGAATACATTTTCTAATTCAAAATCTCTACAAACTTTGAATTGATTTGTATTTTTTTATTTTTATTTTCAGAGAATGTTCTTAAGTAGGTCTTGCTAAAGACTGATAATTTTCCTCCTATACCCAACAGTATTTTTTTCTTTTCAATTATCTCAGCAAAAGGTCCATAAATGCACATGGTAATTTATCTAACTTTTCTTTGATGACAATGCATACTGTCACTGAGAAAACTGTTATTGTCATCTCGATAAATTTTGACGTATTTAGATTAATGCACCGTTTTTGAAGTTAGGTGTGACGTATACCGGAAACGCACATTGATCTGCAAGCCGACAAACCCACATAAGACTGGATCCACATCGTGTGTGTATACATGTGTGAGATGTGTTTTGTACGACGTCACATGATCACGAACAGTGGCTATATCGGACTACTTTATTATTCGTCTACGCGACACAATATAGATCTAATATCATTTTGAAAGAGAAAATTCATTTCTTCGTTCTAGTTTTAAAAAATTACATAAAGATTATCATCAAATGTAGTGCAAGAGATGGTAATAGACTCTTTTTAAAATGTTTTATATTTAAAGATAGCAACTATAATAATTTGACCTAGTGCGGCTGTATCGGGCGTAAATTGGCTGGTTCTATTATACTGCAGTGTATTTTGCAAAACGAAGCGATTTACATAACTTCAATGTTAGCAAGGCAAGGATATTGTGCATTAAAACTCATTGAATGGCACGATCTGAAGTAATCAACGCATGACGCCGTGCCTCACCATCTCGTACGTTGGTTCATTTAAAAAAATCCCAGTTTTTGAAATAATTTCATGGAGTGCCCGCATTTGGAAGAAACTGTACTTGTAACAGCGCCATCTATAAAAAGCGAAAATTTACCACCAGATTATTTTTGCGCAGGTGAGTATGAAGCATTTGTGGTGTTGTTCAGTCATTTTTGACTTCTATATTTGGTGAGTTGGACTCGTCTGTAACGCTGTTCGAGACTGCTCTTGATCAGAAATCCAACAGTCGTCGATGTGTATTGCCCCCTTGTCTGCTACCATGTGCTTTTGGCTTCGAATGAGAAGTATGCCTCATCGACCAGAAATAATCCATCCATTTGCTATGGATATCTAGATGTTGCAACACCTTTTTGTATTATGGAATATATAACGGGAATATGAAGAATTGTCATTTACAAGAAGGCGACATGCTTGGCGGACTCCCGTTTGTTTACACAAGGGTTATAATTATTGTCATTTCAATATGACAGCTCAGACGTGTGTAATATAGGGAGGGGTCGTCTCGAAAGGCAATACATTTCGAAGGGAGATAACTTACGGATTTAATTGGCATTATGACGTTATTAAACAAACATTTATTAAACATCAATGGTTCGTTTCTTGACAATTTCACTTGCAAATGCAATAGTTTAACACTCTGAAATTTTGTAAATTAAATGGTAATTAGATCAATAGCCATTTATATTCTCAAATTTTCTATCTGATGTGTGGTTCGATGGTTTTATTATTATGACTAGTACGTTGTCACACAAACATAGAATGAATATGTAGGACTGCATAGCTGCGGGGCGAATAAGAATAGTTAGATACCAACAAAATTTAAAAAAAAAATGAAATAACCAACCAATCATTGATCCATGTTGAATTATGAATTCCTTTGCTTATATATATGTATAGGACCAGTAAAATCAAGGTAAACCATAACCTGTGGAATTGTTATATCATGACCACGGTCACTAAAAATTCAAATTCTTAAGTCATTGCACTGTGTGTCCAATGTTTACATCATGCAAGTAAATAGTTTTATGGGTATATCACCATTTACATCACTGCTGTATCGTCCAGAAAATTTGCTGATATCAATATGTATAACCATATTATTACACCACTTCCTGGAAATACTTCAAACACATGTAACAACTTATTAATTCAATTTGTTAATGTTATTTATGAATATATGCATGTCATTGATTCAAATTATATAAACTGATTTTCATGTTAAGTATTACTTTGATCAAAAACTTAGAATCTAATTATTGCATAATTTGAGGATAGTTGGGTCATTGTATTTTAGAGTCGGTATCTCTGAAGTTAATGGTTTTACCGAAAGTAAGAATTATTATTCGTGTCATTAACCTCAGTTATGTACTATATTAATTAAAGCCCTTTAGACATCTTCCATCTCTTTCTGCTTCATGGTCATCATGTTTGTTTGTTTGCTGGTTTTGTCACCTGTCAACAACCAGGGTTATTCAGAGGCAAGGTGTTCTTTTAGATTCAGTGACTACTTCACTGAACAACATAGAGGAGGCACATCGCATACCTACTATGCATTCAAAAATGTGTGCATACAAATGTTCAGGGCAAAACTGGCAATTATTATGCATATACTAAAGCTTAAAATCCGATTATAAACTAAAATATATTCAGAATAAACAAAATTTTATCTTACCGACTATGCTGTATGGAGTTCATGCATGAAGTAGAAATGGTTCGTATGAATAGTTTTGTTATAGAAATTAACTCATAGCAGTAAGATTTGATGTGCATGATATGTATGTTACATTGTAAATTTGAATTACACCATTTTTTTTTTTTTTTGTAAATGTTTTGAAGTTATTTAAAAATTATGTTGAAGTGTTTTTAATTTTTGTTTACATGAATTTCATGTAGCTGCATGTACTTGTGCAAGCTGTATTAATTGAGAAAACCTAATATTTTCTGAGAAATTGTGGAGGTATTCCAGACTTTTTCTGGTCTTAAAGCAGGACAAAAATAGCTTTGAATTCCTGAACATTTGCTTTGATCATATTTCTTAAAAGCACAAACGCAGTATGCTATTCATTTTGTCTATATTTGAAATTGATATGAAAATAATAATCTTTGAAAACTTGATCCAGTGAGGTTCAGTGACTAATAAAATTACAGTGAAGAGATAGTACATACACAACAGTAGGAATATTCATCACTCGGCCAGACAATAACCTGGTTCGTGAAGCAGTATAGACCAAGCATTAAATGGCATCATACAGTAGAGCATAGAAAGCGTCACCCAAGAGAAACAGTCTGAGAGAGGCTTTCCCTGTAATTCCTCTCCCCATGATTAGGCAGACTTTCTATGCTGACTGTGTAATTGTATGACTTTGCAAGCCTGCGCTACAGCTGCATTTTGTATGTAGCCCCAGAGAACACAATCATTGGGGGATGTATCAAAAGACAACTATGCATTAAGTTATTCATCTGGAGAGGCATGATGGAGAGTGAGTGATACATCTTTGTATTGATCACAATATAAAGATAGTGCTTTGTGTGTCCTAAAGGTTGTGCCATTCCAGATATTGTTTGGTAGTATAATGCTAACATTGTTGTGAGTACAATGCCATCTGTTCAAAATATTTCATTATCATTTCAGTTTTTTTTCCCCAATTTAATTTTAAAAATTTAAAGCAGCTTCTCAGAGCAATCAAATTTAATCTGAAAACCAATAAAAAAAACCTGTTATTATTGTACTTTAATGCAAAAGAGAATTTAGAAAGTTGTCTCTTTCTTTTTCATCAAAATAGAAATGTGTTATGTTTTCTTGTGATCATTCTGTGTGTTATTATCAGTTGCACAAAATTTGTGTTTTACAATATTGATCTTGTGTGTAATGAGGGATGACCTTTATTCAAGGCCTTCAATTTTAATACATATGTGAACTTTTTTCTACCAAAGCAATATGATTGTCAATTAGATTTTTATTCAGCAATTTTTTGTCCAGTTTTATAGCTGGAAACAGATGGTTTTCTTTAACTATGGTATATAGTACTATTTTCTCTTGATATTGAAGAATAATCCAGGAAAATCGTCCTGATTTTAAAGAAACGTTACTAAGATTTTCCAGTTAATGCAGATGCTGTTAACTGTAATTTTTTATACACGATTTATAAAAACAAGACCAAGATGAGTAATGAAACTGAGTCACACTGCATTCAGGTGTTCAGAGGCAACAGAACAAAATTGGTTGCGATGAATATGTAGATAACTTTTACAGCATCTCTAGTTTATTCTTGTGAAAATGCATGTGGTTTTACTATCTGTAATCAGTGTTAAACTAAAACTGCATTGATAAATTTCTTTACTTGTAGCATGCAAGACAGACAAGAGTCCATGGATTTGTGCCCGATGTGGAAAAATTCATTGTGGAAGGTATTGCATTCAAATTTCAGTAAGATTGATTGAGAAAGAAGTATATAAATTTGAAATGAAAAATGACTGATATCAGAAGAAAAGAACCTTGTTTGAAAAAGAATTCTATTTCATTATGAAACTGTTAGTTTTTGCTACAGATTTGAACTCATTTTGTAGGATATGCCTCCATATAAATTTGTTGAATATTCTAAATGGATTGTACATAATGTCCTACCTTTGAAAAATGCCAGTTCTGAAAATTTGTTTGTATGTTACAAATAGGTTGATTACCTGTGATGTATATTTTAGCACTATTGATGCATTTTTCAGGTATGTGAATGGACACGCCAAGGAGCATTTTGAGGCAACCTCTCAACATGCTGTCTGTATGGATTGTGATAACCATGCAGTTTACTGGTAAGATCAGAAGCACATTACAAATCTTTTAACATACTTGCACAGAAAGCTTGTATTATATCGTATTTGAGTCCAAAGTGGCATGTACTGAATCGTTACTATGCCAAATTGTAGTATTTGAAACTGTATACTACAATTTATATTGATTTGGTTAGTGTAGCAATAAGTATAGATGTCTCCCAGGTAAACAAAACAATGCGCTAGTCACTTTTAGTATCAATATACTGAAATATTTGAAGTTGTTAGACTTAAGAGGCCTTCACAAAAAAATAAGTTACTTTATGAAGCTTTAAAATTTTAACGAAACAAATTTAATGTCAAACATGATTTTGACACAAAATCATTATTATCACCGTAACTTATGAAATTACCAAGTTTGTAAATTTTGTCTGCTAGACATTGATCTGACAGTCCAAACAGATATATCTAGAATCTATTACAAACAAAACGGCATGTTTTAATGACCAGAGAGACTTCCAATTAAAATTTCCATGGTTATTCAATTCTGAAAATCCCATCAATCTACTGTAGGTCACGAAAACGTAAACAATTCTCGAGGAAACACTTAACACATCACTTTGTGAAATCTGAATGAAAGCTGCATCACTTTTTAATGAAATATCAATGTACAATAAATTGCTTTTATTTCAAATGAAGATGAAAAAAACTATAATTATTTCAAAAATTGTGATGGTGTAAACTTTTTATATTAATAATAAAAATCAATTTGTGACTATACCGTGTCATACAATTGTTATTTCATAATGACACAAGGAACTATATTGTTTTGGCTGTTCTCAAATTTGAACTTGCTGACGTCAGTTCTTGGTTAAGCAGGAAATGTACGTTACTTGTTCCTGATTTTTACTCTTTTTTTTCCTCCGACTGGTATTTGAGATTAGAAATATAAATATTAAACTGTTAAAACCAGATTGGGTATACAGTATACCCCATCTGGTAACTGGTTATTGTTTAAATATTTAATCTAACTCAACAAAAACACAATTAAGTGTTGTCAATGAAACTACAATTAGTTGTCATTGTTGTCAAGATAACTACAACAATCATACAAAGAAAGTTTAGGTACTTTTCTGTGGAAAAAAATATTTCTCTGCTGCCACTCCCACATAAAATTTGAAAAATGTTGTAAAGTGTATCTGAAGTGATATTTTGGATTGTAGCAGTGAAATGAAAGTGAATTGTATTGTAAATATAAAGGTAATAACATTGTGTAGCTGGACGTCAGAAATCACCAACATAATTCGTGGAATATGTACAGAAACGCAGTGCTGCTAACTCACCTTGAATAATGTTGAACAAATAAAAAAACGTTTACACAGTATGATTTATTTAGATATGCATGCACTTGAATGCTTTCTGCTGAGTGATACATCATTACTTTTCATTGCTTTCAGCTATATCTGTGATGAATTTGTGATTAATGATACAAAATATGGGCACTTGGACAAACTCAGGAAAAGCTTACAGTCATTAGCCAGGTAAATTCACTGAAGTTGGGACACTTTTATATAAAAGTCTTAATGGTAATCATCAGCTTGTTGCTTAGTTTCATAATCTACTTAACAGTTTATTTATCTTTATGAATAGTTAATAATGTAGTTATGTCAAAATTTTATTGTTTTTGAGATAAAAATAATTATGGTGACATTATATCGTCAACAGAAAAAATGATTCCAATACTGTTATTTAATACTGTTAAAATGTATCATAAAATTTTTTTGCTCCCTTAAGTGCCAGAAATCATATACGACAGAAAGTACGCCGACGAGCTTCCACAGATTCACAAGAGAATGATAGACATAGGAAAAAAGTTAAAAAGGTATTTTGTCTTTGATATTTTTCTCTTTCTTATATCAACCCATGTGACAAATCTTTTTGTATATATAATTATTCTTGTGTTTGTTGAAGTCGGTGTCATTAACATGGTAACATGTATAACTAACATCCAGTTGAAATGTAATTTGCTTTTCAATTAAAGTAAAATTATCACAAAACTGGGTGGTTGGGGGGACCTGTGTTATTTAGATATTGATATAGCCATTTGAATTTTTTTTACAGGATGACAGACCACGGTCATCTGGACTTAGGAATTTAGGAAACACATGTTTCATGAATGCAGTATTACAGTCCCTTAGGTAATATTATAATTGTGTGTTAAAATGAAAAAAGACCAGGTGAATTTATCTCTGTTATGTAACAAAAGTGGTTAATCATAATACACCGATGTCTTTGCCTCAAACCACCTAAAACATCAAGGTATAAGACAGGAAAAATATTAAATTAAATTTTATGCATTGGTCTTGTTTTATTTTTATTTTGAATTTTCTTTACACTTTTTATGCAAGTAAATTCAAATTTACTTCAGTCGTTATAAGGTACATGTAAACTGAGGTAAGTATCATTGGATGGAAAGTAATTAGAATTGTTACATATCCTCCAGTTCTAAAGCATCCTGTTATTATACTGCACGTGCTAATTATATCAACTGATTAAAATCTGAAGTGTTTGCTTTTTCATAGTATTTTATACATGAAATTGTTCACCACTTACTTTTAATTGTGTAAATAATAACATTTAATTCTGGAGTGTAACATTAAAGAATAATGTAGGGATAGAACAAAAGCAAACTGATGATGTGGATGACTACACTACAAAAATTCCTTACTCATCTGATTTGTCAGTGATATGAAAATATTGAGACTGAAGTTTGCCCTTCAACTTAGTAATTTTAACACCACAGTAGCTATTGTTGATGATGTTAGATATATTTCTGTTATGCAGTAACATTCAGCAATTCTGTGGTTACATCAAACAATTGCCATCCTTGGAGGAAAAGATCAGCAAATCACGCAAATACCACCACACACGTAAAACACGCAACGAGGAGGATGATGTGTAAGCATTACCGTCAAAGTTTCTAAGACCTGAAAAATCAGAATAACCAATGTTCTATCATATTATGCCTTCCAGTTTTTACAAGTATGATGCCTTGAATAATCCTTCGATGATATGTACCAATATACCATAATGAAAATGGTTAAGTTTTGTATGAAGGAATGTAAACAATAGAGAGCAAAAGTGTTGCAATCTTTTTATGTTCTTTGAAATTCAGCATGACCTATTTTCAATATAAAATAAGTAATTACTTTTAAAAGTAAACATTTTTTTTTTCTGTTTTATAGACTCCTGATTGAAGAGTTACGAAAGACACTGGTAGCATTGTGGCAAGGGACCAAAGGAGCCATTTCTCCAGAATCTCTATTCTGTGTCATTTGGAAAGTTGTGCCAAGATTTAGGTACAATTTTCTAACCAGTTCAGGTTTTGCTTTTGAAGTAGGAAGGAAGAATATAATCAAAATTTGTAAATGTAATTTGTTACATGTTCTTTGGCAAATTATCAGTAACAAATTGAATCTCTGCCAAAACAAAAAACAGAGAAGACAATGAAAACAGGATAAAATTGAAAAGGAATTGATCTAAAGTTCAAGTTAGAAAATAGATTAACTTATTGAGCATCAAAGTTTGCATTGGCCTAGGTGAGCAAAGATGCATTTTAGAACTTTATTTTATAGACAAAACAAACCTTGACCCTAGATTTCAAAATTTTTGCCTTCTGAAATTTTGTTTGATATTTAAGAATATACCAACCAAAAATAGGTAAAACTTGCACCCAATTCACCTTCATTAATTTGTCACGAATAGGGGTTACCAGCAACAAGATGCCCATGAGTTTATGCGCTACCTCCTGGACCGGTTACACACCGAGCTGCTCACACTGCTACCCTACCCAAACAACAACAGCCCCTTCATAGGACCAAAGGGCAAGAGCACCATTGTCACTGCAATATTTGGGGGATTACTCCAGAATGAAGTCAACTGTCTGGTGTGTGGTGTGGAATCAAAAAAACATGACCCTTTTCTAGGCAAGTGTCATCTGTAATAGCCATACCTTCCCTTTTCTTCAAAGATGACATGTCATATTTGTTTTTCCTCTTTTTCTGTTGCTTCTAATAAAACCTTTTTTATGACAGAAGCTTTAATCCATACAGATATCAAGAAGTTAACATGCATCACATGCATTACTTGCATCAGGTTTGCATTTATGTTAATTGAGTTGCTGTCTTCACCATTTGGTTCCTTGTAACTGATATAAGTACAAACTTTTCCGTAAGTTTGCCTCAATTCTAATGGCAACTTCCTGTAAGATCATGTTTTCATTCGTAATAAAGATCTCCAATAGTTTTATCCTCCTTGCATCACTTTTGAGGATCTGATGTCAAACATTGCCAGTGTCTTATGACATGTCTTCAATGTTGCCTGAAAATAGCTCATTAGTAGTTTGTGTAAGGTCTCACCTGCTGCAAGTTTTTCCACCTTTCGTTTGCAAACCAAAATGCTTTGTGAAAAGAAAGTTAGGTTATCATTGTTTAATTGAATATGTGTATAAGTAAATGGGAAATTGTTACCCTGTCATTGTTTTTACCTAGCTCTGCATTTAATGTGAAATTTCATTATTTTCTGGTTACCAGAGTCATAAGTGTTTACTGGGTAAATGTCTGCATATTTATAAAGAAAATTTCATGGGGTTTGTTTGAAACTGATAATGAGGTGTATGCTGGATAACGTTTTTCTTTCTTTGTAGATCTATCACTAGATATTCCAGCCCAGTTTGCTACACGAGGAGCTAAATCTAAAGATGGGGAGCAGCAGATCTGTCGATTATCAGGTAAAGGATAGCTTTATTTTGTGTTTATTTCAAACTTCTTTTTGTGTAAAACTGACATACAACCTCCCAGTAGTGAACCTGTATCAAAAGAGAGAATCTTGTAGAACTGGTAGGAAATTCAAAGTAACATTCATATTAAACCCCAAATTAGTTCATTGGTATTTCTTACATGACTTCTGGTTGAAGGAATGTCTATCTAAACAAGTAATCAATAACTGAGGAATGAAACTGCATGTTTGTTTCTATTCAATTCCAATGAAGTAATGCAGAGATAAAGATATATGGTGTTTTAGTAAAAGTATTAGCCATTATATCTTTGATATGTTTTTAACATTGTTATACAATGTTTCAGTTATAAGTTAGGATTAACAAATTTGCGTGTCATCAACAATTTATACTTCAGGTTAAATTAGCATGTACAAGTCCCCTTTTTCTCTATTTACAGACTGTTTAACAAGTTTTACTGAGGTTGAAGAGTTGGAGGAGTCGGAACTCTACATGTGTAGTAACTGTAAAAAGAGACAAAGATCAACAAAGAAATTCTGGATACGACGGTTGCCTAACGTGAGTCCATGTGAATTTTATTAAGCTTACCCTTCTGGTATACATAATCTTATTCTCCTTGTACTTTTTTTCAAAAGTCATGTAAATATTTTTGTCTGTTTTTTGCCCTTCTTAATTGATTTTGAGTTTCAACAGCGTTTATAAATGCATAGATATCTGTTATGTGAAAGCTGTAGAAAGAAAAGATCATGAAAGTTTGCTATTGTCCACATATTTAAATACAGGTATTGTGTGCATCCTATCATGAATTTCCTATGACTGAATAATCCAGAGAAAGATCAGACATCAAGTATCTGGTGACTGAATAATCCAGAGAAAGATCAGACATCAAGTATCTGGTGACTGAATAATCCAGAGAAAGATCAGACATCAAGTATCTGGTGACTGAATAATCCAGAGAAAGATCAGACATCAAGTATCTGGTGACTGAATAATCCAGAGAAAGATCAGAGGTCAAGTATCTGGTGACTGAATAATCCAGAGAAAGATCAGACATCAAGTATCTGGTGACTGAATAATCCAGAGAAAGATCAGACATCAAGTATCTGGTGACTGAATAATCCAGAGAAAGATCAGACATCAAGTATCTGGTGACTGAATAATCCAGAGAAAGATCAGACATCAAGTATCTGGTGACTGAATAATCCAGAGAAAGATCAGACATCAAGTATCTGGTGACTGAATAATCCAGAGAAAGATCAGACATCAAGTATCTGGTGACTGAATAATCCAGAGAAAGATCAGACATCAAGTATCTGGTGACTGAATAATCCAGAGAAAGATCAGACATCAAGTATCTGGTGACTGAATAATCCAGAGAAAGATCAGACATCAAGTATCTGGTGACTGAATAATCCAGAGAAAGATCAGACATCAAGTATCTGGTGACTGAATAATCCAGAGAAAGATCAGACATCAAGTATCTGGTGACTGAATAATCCAGAGAAAGATCAGACATCAAGTATCTGGTGACTGAATAATCCAGAGAAAGATCAGACATCAAGTATCTGGTGACTGAATAATCCAAAGATCAGACATCAAGAGAGAAAGATCAGACATCAAGTATCTGGTGACTGAATAATCCAGAGAAAGATCAGAGGTCAAGTATCTGGTGACTGAATAATCCAGAGAAAGATCAGACATCAAGTATCTGGTGACTGAATAATCCAGAGAAAGATCAGACATCAAGTATCTGGTGACTGAATAATCCAGAGAAAGATCAGACATCAAGTATCTGGTGACTGAATAATCCAGAGAAAGATCAGACATCAAGTATCTGGTGACTGAATAATCCAGAGAAAGATCAGAGGTCAAGTATTTGGTATAAGATATTGAGTGGATGATAACTTTATATATTTCAGGTTTTATGTTTACACATCAAGCGGTTTAGATGGCAATCCTTCTTCCGTATGAAATTGGAAACATTCATAGAATTTCCGCTGAGAGAGCTCAATATGAACAGATATGTTCTGGATAATTTGGTAGGCTTTTCTTGTTTATTGCATTTTGTAGCCGGGGTAACAATGTTACAATACATAACATTATTGGCAATATTTTGGCTTTGATACAATGCAACATTGAGATATTGCTTAAAGCATATTTAAACACATCTAGTCAGATTTCCAAATAATGACTATTAATTTAACTAAAGAGATATTGGTCATTTTGTCACTGGACACATATTTGACTGATTACTAAACAGTTTTTGGTTTTAATCATGCTACTTGTTATTTAAAAATGAAATTGATAAGTTTGTTTTAAGTAAAATCATTGGTGGAAAGGTTTGATCGTGTAATTTCCTTGTTTCTTTTTGTAAAACAAACAAAACAAAAACAATGTCATGGGTCTTCAGATGATTATTCTGAGATCCCACCTAAACAGTATGTGTTGCATTGCAACTCCTGTCTTACAATACATATGTTATTGCGATCAATGAAGAGAGACAATGCTACATACAGTGTAATCTGTACTGTATAGTCAGTCATACTAAATAGTTGCCTTGTGTAGATCATATTGTCAAATCTATCAATTGTGGAGAAAGAAAAAAATATCCATTAGTAGGTATTATAGTCCATCAAAGTATGGCCTATCCCTGTTTTTACTACATATGTGCATGCAGATTCAAGTCCTGAACTGGAGTTTAGATTCAGCTTTTTAAGCATTGTTACATTGACAAAATAGTATTCTATATCTTGTTAAGAAAACTACAGGAAAGTTGGTATTGTTGTAATTCCTTACGTACATATATAATAACGATAAGTAATTGGTTAAAGAAAAAGGGAATTCGAAAGAGGGAACTTATTGGGGCCCACCATTCTATTTCTGTTATCACAATCCTCTATTCTTGTATAAATTGTATTTGTTGATTGCAGCACGAGACAAGGGGTAGTTATGGAGGAAGTAGCCAGTATGACCTTGCTGCTGTCATCGTACATCATGGATCAGGGTATGTAGTTAACACTCCAACTGAATACAGTTGTCAGACTGATGCATTACAGTTCATTCATAACAATAAGTATATAATTGTTATATGGCAATACATGTGCTTTTTAATCACTTCTGATATATTGTCTGTTTCTTCTGTTTTCAGAGCTGGTTCAGGTCATTATACAGCATATGCCATGCATGAAGGTAAAGAATTTCATTGTTATCTAGAAAGAAAACAAATTGAAACTGAGAAAATCTAAGATGCATAAAATCTAAAACAAAAATTTTAATCTGTTACTGCTTCATTTAAGAATATGTTAAACAGCTAATGACTGAAAATAGATGAAAATATGTCCTGACAACTTAACAGCTGACTTTAACACTTTCCTTTTTTTTCTCCATTCACCAGAAAGTGAACTGTTGTCAAGATTTCATCTCTCTCAACAAAAAAATTACAAAAAGAACCCAGTTTCCAATTGCTGTTTGTAATTAAGATGAACATCCAAAATATATCTATACCAAACTGATGAATCTCATTTAAAGTGTTAATGCTTTGTGTAGCATAATTTGCCAGTAAATGTTATAAAAGTAAGAACGATGTTCAGTTATAGAGGTTCGGACAAAGTCCGGTCAAATTATTTCATATTTTTGTTAAAATTTTCTGTAGAAGTGTTAAGTTGATATTATATATTATTTATTTACCTTTTGTTCTAGGTCAGTGGTATCACTTCAACGACAGCACAGTGACCCCCTGTGATTCCGAAGTGGTGGCCAAGTGTAAAGCCTACATACTGTTTTATATACGGAGAGAGTTTAAGCTGCCTGAATACTTGGGTATCAATGGTAACAGTCACAGACAGTGAAGATCATATTGACTCTCAATGCAGGGCCTGGCAGTGCCCATTATCAGTGTTAAGAAATCACTGAAGGCCATCACAGCCTAGTCTCACCAAGCCTTTGGTTTCATATATTGGCTTATAGTCAGCGTTAAACAGTTGGAGACAGGAGAGTTCAAAGTGCACAGCTACAGACATTAAGGAAAGGCTTAGCTTCACATTTGATTTACCTGCATTTGGGATATCTTTAGACACATTTAGAGTTTAGAATAAAATTTCACAATGATGATTTGTAAGTAAAGAACACAAAATTATTCATTTGAATTTATACTCTTAAACACTTACTTTAAAGATGTTGAAAAGCTTTGCCATAGACAGGTTCAAGGAGTGAAAGGCTAGTGCAGATCATAAAGCAACCCAAGATATTTGGTCACATTAGCACTGTGCTACTGGCTCCTGTGGGCATAAGGAAACTTTGTTCATATTCTTTTATAAAATAGGTCCCAAAAGGGTGATAAAACTCACATTCAGGTTAAATTGGTTGTTGAATATGGCAGGAATAATATATACCTATACATATTCACTTGAGATCCATTGAGGCAGGAAAATATAAGTAAGAAAAGAATGGAACGTTAAAATCTTTGATCAGTCTTCCTTTGAGCTAATGATCTATTTATTTCCTGAAAATTCGAACTCTAGAAATAGAAAATTCTGACTAAGTAGTTTCTACTTTTAGGTACATGAGCGCCAGAAATTGCATGTGACAGAGGATAAGGAAATTATCGTTGGTTACTCTGATAGGGGATTGTTATGTAAAGGAATTACATTACTTACTGAAGATATTATGAAAACAAGCAATTAGCTGTAAAATGTTGAGAATTATTTGGATTTTTGAAATGCAGATTTGATTGGAAAGTCTTCAACCATATAATGAACAAGAAGGTTTAAACTTAACAGTATTCGGAAATAAGTCAGGAACAAGTTATCAAGGAGGAAATTTTCAATAGATAAAAGTAAGCTCTTATGGTAATACATGCAGATAGAAAGGAACTTTTTTTTCATTCTTTGCAGTATTAGCTTCAAAAAGTGTAATTGGAACAAAAGTATACCTTTGTGAAGGTCAGATATGCTTGTGATTCATTCCATCAGTCAAAATGTTATTTTATCAGGCGAATGCTCAAAAGTGCATGCTTTTTTCACGTGTTAAATGTAGTTGATATCTTTTACATGTGGAATAGATGGTAGAGCAGAAATTTGTCACGTTTTATTTGCTTTTTGTAATTTTCAGTCTTTTTGCCTGTGTAAAATTTGCTCTCAGATGATGCAAGAAGTCCTCATTGCAAAAAAGATAGCATATTGGATAACATCTTGTAAGGTCAAAGGATATAATATGTTCACTCTCAACAGAGAACGATGCACGTTTGTAATGTACTGTCTTTTACTTGATTGTAAACCCAGTTGGCATTGTGACTACCTTACAAATATTGGATATTTTAGCATCATTTGACGTCCTTTTACCAAATGGATAAATATTGTTTATCTATGTATACTGAAACTGTCCCACCATGTGAAAATGTTGATACGGATGGATTATAAAATGGCGGGATGTATGCCGATAAGATAAGATTTTGATAAATTTGAAAACTAGTACAGTGTATAATATCCTATTTCTTTTTGACTGCCAAAAAAGGATGCAAGTTAACTTGGTTCTAACTGTTGTTTCGTCATTGTCGAGTAAAACAGGGTATCCCTCAGATCCATATAGAAGGTATCTGATAATTAAGCGCAGTAGGTTTGAGAGACGTTATCATTAACTTGGTGACCAACATTCAAAGGGTTTGTACATTCAAAATACTAGTTGTGTATTCCTAAAATGAAATCTTTGCTGTGACTCTAGTATTGTGCGATTGCTTTAGCAGTATGAGTGCAGATTTCAAACTGGGCATTTCTGTTGATGGATATTAAATATGTAATCAACTATTGATAGGGTCAATTATCTATGTTCCTTGGTCAATAATCTCAATATGACTTGAACATGTAGAGTCAAGATTAATGGGTCTTTATTGGTATCCAATGCTTTTATATGTATACAACAATGATGTACCAGTAATTAACGATGTGCTGTTACTGTATAATCAACCCTTGGTATCATATCAAATCTTAATCTACATTATGATCTTTATGGGTGAACATAGTTGACTTTTTACCTAATTGTTATATTTCGTTTTCTTTAATTGCTCAAAAACAAGATATTTAGTCAACAAATAAAGCAGGTATGAAGCTTGTGCAGTGAATTATTTTATTAGCTTTACTCCAGTACGGTGTTTCTAAAAGGTACATATCAAAAATTTACTTTATTTATTTTACAATAAGCTCATGCCTTGTAATAAGCCAACCCATGCTCATGACATCAGTAAACTACGTAATAAGCATAAAACTACCTTTATTTAAAAGCTATATGTTGTCCTTTGAGCTTACTACAGATAAAATATGGTAAATTCTCATAAAATAGAGGAGATTGTTACAGGTAAAAGTAAAAAATTCCAATTAAAATGAAGGTTGTTTTGAACAAAGCTAAGTGGTTATGTCCACCAATAGCTCTGTCGATGGGAACTAGAGATCTGCAGTCAACCTGGTAGTCTGTTACCATGCAGTAACCTGTCCAGGGCTTACCCTATAAACTTTCTTTATAAGGAAATGTTGTGTTTCGTAATGTTGCAGGCATATTTATCCAAACAAGCCCAAAGTTAAAATCAGCTGATTGACTTACAATTACTGGACAATGAAAGAGTATTTATTGATAATTTTACTGACAAGAAATGTTCAGGTTGTAGAATTTTTACATAAGCAAGACAAAGATAGTGTTTTCAATATTAACTTCATGATCTACTAGTTATGTCACTCCACCAAATTGTTTAACATCAGACTTGACAATTAATGGAGACCCCAACAATGGTAGGGACAGATCTAGTTAAATCAAGAGTTGTCAACATGCTTGCATGACATATGTTTGACTTCAAAATTTTGTTTACCATACTTTTTCTCAACACGGTGTAACTTGAATCTTCAAAAATTGATCAAATAAATTCCATCAGATTAAGGGTACCATTGATGGTGCTCAAGAGACCCTGTACATCAATATCCTGGCATGATGATTGGTCTAAATTTACGTGTACAATGTTAGATACAGGTTACATTACAAAGCAAACCAATCGTGACGACTTGGGGCATGAACCACAATTTAGGGTTGAAAAATGCTGAGGATAAGAGAGAGAGAAACAAGTTTATATTGTTCTTGTGTTGTAGCATGAACAGTGGCTTTAGTGTATTGAAAATGGTAAGTGAGAGGCTTACAGCTCGATTCATTAATGGTATGTTTGCAGTATGTGAAATAGCGATGAGAGAAGCATGTTTGTGAGAGATAATGGTAGAAGGAAAATCGTTGATTTGCATGTGTATCAAATTTGATGTCTCCCATGTATGGATTTGTGGATTTGATCTCATTTGAATTTTTATTACAATACTATGTCCAAGTGACTGATGGAAAACAGAATGTGGATGTGGCGATAATGAACATAATGAACAAGGTTTTGTCCAGTTACAACATTATAATTTCATGCTATATCTGCATGTTCAAAATGCTTTGCATACTGTGAGAGTCGATGTGTTGTAAAAATGAAATAAATGTTGACTACAGATGTGGATGTAAGTATGTGTATGATATACATGTATTGATGTTTGTTGCCGTGGGAACAGTGCTGGACACAGGAAGTGTATGGTTTTGATTTCTTGCTTTTTGAAAAAAGATAAAGCATTGAAAAGAAACATCAATAAAAAAATTAACAATACTTTGCTTTGTTTGATGTTTGAGCCATTGTCAGAAAGCATTTAGAACCAACTTAAAGGACTATCTGGATGGTTCCGCATTCCAAGTCACCAGTTAATTATAACCACAGCTCCATGGTTACATATGTTCCCAAGAAATTCTTGGTTTCTAATACAAAGATCTTGAACTTTTGTCTTCCAACAAATCTCAAGACAGCTCTACGTCGCAAATTAATATGAAATCAGCCGGATGCTGTTGAGTATATATATATGAAATAATTTTGATTCCTTTGGAAAACTGATGGTAAATATTCCTTCAGATAATAGGAGAAATCTTGTATCAGTGACTGTTCTTATTATTAACCGATTCATTACTTGGAATGTTCAAGGTTTCTTGAAACTTAAGACATAACTCATTATATACATGTGATCTGCAGTTTGAATTGCTACCACCTGGGGACACTTTTTATCAATGTAACCTCTTTTGTGGTTAAGAAGTTGTTTAAGAAATTCTTCACAGACATTGGATGCAGCAGTATGGCGCACAAGATCACCTTGGTCCTTTGAACCAGGTGAGCTAAAATGCATGTTGTCACCTTGACCAAGAGGTTATTTATTCCTTGAGTACTTCGGGTTTCAGTAAGACCCCTTCACACTCTTCCATCCGAGCAAACACATGATTAAAACTTTGTTGACATAATATTAACTAGTCTGATGCTCTACTAAATGACGGAGCAAAAGTAAAAATCTGCCAAGCAAAGATGGTAGGAAGCTGCCATTGTATTTTTGTATCAAGGTGACATCTAGAACATGGTTTACTCTGCTTTCTGTGTTATTGAGTTCAAAGTGTTCTCAAATCCATTGGCATAACACTAACAAAAACAATAAAGTGATTTCTTGATAGGAAATTTATTCAAAAGATGACAAGTGCCAATAGCAAGAAAAATTTCAGAGCTATTTTATAGTTGTTTATTGAAATAATATACTCCATTGTTTTCTGCAGAGAAAATTAAAACAGAATTCCTACAATTCTGTTCATTTTGAAAGCGATATACATGTACACTCTTTTTTTTCTTTACATGGACTTATTCCATGACAGGACTTTCAGATTTTTCCTGTAAATTTGATGGAATAGCCTTCATAGATAGAATTAAGACTCCATAAACAAAATGTACTGTGAATTAACTTTTCAGTACATTCTACTGGTAAACTGTTATGTGCCAGTCTTTTTTAGTGAGTACCGTATTTTCTGGGTTTATAAGCACCACCAGTTTTTAGCGATTTTTTCAATTTGATCCACATATAAGCTGCACCCTTATTAAGAAAAAATACAGAAATTTGCCAAAGAAATATATACTCATAAGACTTTATGGTGAATGGTTTACATTACAAATTTTTATTCTTTCTGGAAGTGTGACAAGTTACAACAACCAAAATTGTCTGGGTGCAAGGTAATGGAGGTTAATAGTTTACGTGATATGCCTGAAAAAAATGGACGTTCTGAAATACATAACGGTCAGGAACCGATGTCCAGACGATACCATTTTGTACTGGTGTACTGGTATGCTTTCTTTTTTTCATCTTGCTGAATTTTTTTTTGTCCACATATAAGCCACACGTCTGACTCATGAGGAAAAAAGGTGTGGGTTATAATCCAGAAAATACAGTGTATATTTTAAAAACATCTTTGCTTTTCCAAATCAATATTGGAAATGCTTTAATACACCTAAATTGTTTTCTCTTTTTTTTTTGTGTGTGTGTAACACATAAAAATTTCAATATAAATCAGGACACCTTAGAAGCCCTGCTTCATTTAAGAAGGACATATTCCACTGTAAATTACATGTACATTCAAATAATGTAAAAAATTATCTGCCCTGATGACCACCAGTATATGATGTACAATATACTTTTTTGTGGATCGACCACCTCTACTGAAAACCATTTATCATTTGCCACTCAAATTGAAAAAAAGGAGATATCAAAATGATAAAAGGGAAGAATATATCTAACTCTTTTTAAAAAATTATGAAACATTTTAGAACATTCAACATCATAAAAAATACTTGAGAAATCTTCCTATATTTATGTGCCAGCAAATACACAATTCATCTCATAGCACATCAAAAGAATGGAAGAAAAATTATTGAAAAAGCAGGCCTGGAACTAAAAGCAACTGTGTCTTGTATATTTACACCTACACCCACACAAAACATAGGTCCATTAAGATCATTGAAGATGATGCAAACAGGCAGCAAGGCAAAACTGTTATATATATACATGTACTGGTAAAAGTTATTTATTTACTTATTTCATTGTATAATGTTTTCATTGAAGACAAGAAGTGAATCGTTTTTAAGATTTTGAGATAAACTTTCAAATCTGAAATACACTAGTCTACCGAGTAAAAGTATATATATAAATTGTACATATAAACATAGAAAATTTTTAACATTTTGCACAGCTTCTTCTATACAAATACAAAATGTAGTAGGAACTTTGTTCTTATTATAAATAAACTATGAAATTTTTGAAGTTTTCTCATTACTTCTTGGGAAACTTAACAAGTTGTCAGTATTTCCTACTGATCTTTCTTTTTTATAACCCTTACAGAAATAATACATGTCTGTTATTTCTGTATTTCCATGTCTTTCCACTTTTTTTTTCTCTAGTTTTCAAATCACCTCTAGTGATAGGAAACGGTCATGGAAGGCATCTGCATATACAACAGCAGAAAAGAAATAATAAAACAAAAAAATAATTTGCCCTATCACAAGGTGCAAACTGTATCATATTAAGAAACTGCGAAAAAAAGGACAGTTCATATACAAGATTTCACAATCTTGTTTCATGGTTGGCCCATCATAAAAGCACCGCAACCAGTATATTACCATATATATTTATTTTACATATTTCTTTTTTTTTTTTTTTTTATTTTTATTTTTTTTTCCAGTTCAAAATTCATTCCTTTAGATAATAGCGGTGAACAAACTCCAACACAATCCATAATAGACAGTTTACAATTTAAGTACAGATTGTACCACATTATTTCAATGAGATACAATTAAAGACAAGAGACAATCTGTATCAAATCTTTTACCAACCCATGATTCGTACAATATCAACAATACAGGATAAATTCTAAGTGTTATTTACAAGTTTTTTTATTTATTTATTTATTTTTATTTATCTTTTTTTACTGTTGAATACAAATTTTTGCATTCATAACTGAAAACATGGATAAGCACTGTACTTAATGTGTAACCAAGATGGTATGAACCCGGCATAAAATGGATTTTTCCAAATTTGAAGAAATATAATACAAGGATGAAGATTGGTTAATGTAAAGAAACCAGCCTTAAAAGACATAACAAAACAACTAAATTGGTATGAGAAGACCAGTTAAAACTACAAGATAGTCCCATTTTTGTTAAAGTTAAGGGTTCTCAATTTTCATGACTTCTTTTTCACCATATAGAAAATAAATGTGTTAGTTGATATACTTCATATTTTTTATATGGTGTACCCCAAATCAATCTCAATAGCTTCATAAAACACATACAGGACTGCGGAACTACCTTCTAATTACATGGTCCATACAGATATACCTTTGTATTAGTCACTTACAAAACTATGTGTATCTTCAGGTTAGGAATATATGAGCCAAGTCCCTGTGTGCACAGCACATTGAAATATGATTCTGGATACTAAAATAATGCCACTTTACATAACAGCAAGAAAGTTTCACTAGATACTAGGTTGGTTACAATATGGTGTGACAGCTATCAACACCATCTTAATTTCTTGCCTTTACAGAACTGCAACATCAACTGAATTGCTACGTTAATCCTAATTCCCAGCTTTATCATTGATCAACACAACATGGAGACAAATGCTATTTGAAAAAATGATAAAAGCTTCTCTGGATATGCATACACAACCATCACCATCACAGTAAATTAAAGATAGGAACAAGATATAGATTCAAGTCTAACAACAAGTCAGAGTAAAAAGATCTTGTGTTGGTAAAATATATATATATTTTTTAAAACTGTTTTTGATTGGCATACCTCAATTGGTGGGAATATAATGAAAAAGATGTAGTGAGTGACTGCATCATAAGCCAAGGTAGAAAATGATTCTTGGAGACAGATCAATGTTTACAGAATCAATTCTTAGAAATGTGATGCACAGATATTGGTAGACATGTTATTTAACAGTGTCTACATTTCTGTGTCACTATGTCCTTCTTTAAAGTGACTGTGGACAATGCTACAGGTTTCTGTATATCCAGATATTGCTGCTTTAGGTTATTTTGGTATCATTACACATGAATTAGCCTCATGTTCATTTTGTCCTCTGAGAATTATACAAAAGAGTCGCATCTTAAATTTGCCCTCCCTGTTAATGGATGAAAAGGGCCAAAATTACATGGAAGCAAACTTTCCTGGTATACAGTATAATACTGTATTTACCTATAGGTCAACCAGACTTACCTACTGTGAATAGTACTTTTTAATTCATCTCAAATATTTTCTTTTTTTCTCTTTTCATGTTTGAAGAAAAAGTATTTGCATGGAATGAAACCTTACTGATATATGTAATGAAGAAAATTTTTCAGGAAAATTTTATATACCAGCACCTTTTTCTGTCCCTGCAAATGTCATAAGAAGAATTAGTGCAAAGGAGGTAATTTTCCAGGTATGTCATGTTTTTCTGATCAGCATCTATAGAATGTTTGTCTAATTACACTACATGACATGGAGTACAAGGTATTTCAATCTACAAGACACCACTTCATACATTCTCTTATCTAAGGAAGCACATCGTGCCTACAAAAGATTACACACAGTACTATGTCCTTTATTACCAAACAAAATGTTTTTTTTATGCATTAGTAGTTTGAAACTATTAAGGTGCTGTTTTTCGCCAATATATGCCAATAAATCTCAAAATTTCCTGAAAATATTGTCTACAGGAATCTGCAAAATGGCTTCAATTTCTTTCTAGTCAGTAAGTCACTTCATACAGTAGGTATTTAAAAAGATACTTGGAAGCTAATTAATCCAATCAAAAGAGTACACTTAGCTCCACAGTAGCCAGCTTTCAGAATTTCCATGCAGGTTATTGGATATGTTGTAAAATTAAAGACATTTTCAAATACACTTTTAACTTTTAACAACCTCAATTAAGTTTTGAATTCACAAACAAATAAGTTTCTTCCCGAGAAACTTTGTCTAAAATTATGGTTATTGATGAAAAATATTTCTCCAAAATCCAAAAATGTTGACAAGTGTGATGCTGAAAAAGAATGTTTTCTTTGCATTATGGGAATGCATTTTGAGTTGCTCCTGGATTTGCTACCATTAAAAGTCTGAGTGTATGTCTTTCTTATAAATTTTATGAATGACCAAATCAAAATCTTTCGAGAGCTTCTCAAGCACTTTGAAACACTATCAGAATACATATCTGGTGTATTAAAATTCTAAAAACATGGTGCTTCAGTTGCTTCAACACCTACATCAGTACCCACAGATAATTTCACTTCTTCAATGAATGGACTTGATCCTAATCACTTCTGTTGTTGGTAGTGTCCAGACTGCTGTTCTATAATTATGTCAGACGCCTGTGTGATTCAGTTACACATCAATTCAATATGGCATGGACTGTTCCCTTAATCTGCTGATACCACAGAGGTTATTTTTACTTCAGTGAGGAAATGCTGCAAAGATAAAATCATATACAATGTCATCAATAGAATATATTCCAGATATATATATCTCTACTAAAATGTAAAATTGAAATCATGGACCATTGTTGGATTTTTATTTGCTCTTTGAAAGTTGGATATTTTCCCTTCTCTTCCCTGATTTTACTCCTTATCATAAGAAATTTGAACATGCCTCTGCAGAAATAGCAATGATAATCTTTACCTGTCGCCTGGAAGCCAATTTTTTTTGCTGATCAGTCTCAAAATCAAACAGGCACAACTAGGGACCAAGGGGAACCTATACATAACATTTGAGAAGATCTATGCAGTATTTCTCATGAAATAGTGTTAGCAAACTTTCAAGGTCAAAACCAAAGATGGCCACCAGTAGCCATTTTCTTTTCCTGATCAGTACCAAAATCAAACAGGCACAACTGGAGATCAAGGGAAATTCAAGAAAAATGTAAGCAGTAGTTCTAAAGAATAGGGATAAAAAACTTTCATAGTAAAAATCCTGGAAGCCATTTAGTTTTTCTGATCAGACCCAAAATCAAATGAGCACAACTATGGACAAAGTGGAAGCTACATAGGATATTTAAGAAAGATCCATCCAGTCCTTCATGAGAAACAGCGATAAAAAAAACTTGCAAAGTCAAAATCCAAGATGGCCACCTGTTGGCCATTTTGTTTTTTTCAATCAGACCCAAAATCAAATGAGCTCAACTAGAGACCAAGGGGAACCTAGATATGAAATTTAAGAAAGATCCATCCAGTACTTGTTAAGAAAAAGTGATAACACACTCGCAAAATAAAATTCAAGATGGCCACCTGTGGGCCATCCAGTACTTCTAAAAATCAAACGATAACAAAAATTGTTTATGGACGGACAGACGACTGACATTGGGCGATTTGAATATCAGATGGACTAAAATAATAATATGAACCTTTTAAGCTATCTTTGTACTCTACATGAATTTAGAATTTTAATCATGATCAATGCCATGATAATGACTGCTGTACAACAGACATTTGGTAAACTGATTGCAGATTGACAACATGAAATTCCACTTGACTCTTATTTTGGCAAAGAAATATTGTGAGAGCCTAATATAACACTGGTCTGATAAGAAGTATACATGTGGCAATATTTACGCAGTTCAAAAATGAATTATTGACAGAAAAGATGTCATAAATTAGATAAACAATAACTGTGAAGAAGTACTGACCATATCATCCACACCAATCCTGTCTACTGTCAGAGTGATAATCTTCCACACCAACTCTTTAGACAGGGGAAGGGATCCTTCTACAATTAGGGAACAAACATGTAAAATATTTACTGTGTGTTTTACTCCAGATTAGACATTAACATGATTTTGCCAGCCTGTGTAGGTGTATCACAACTTTTACAGATTTGATACCATCTCCTTTGGAAGGTTTAAAAAATCATCTCCACAAATGTAATAAAAAACATACGATCAAATTAGTTACTCATTGCAAATACAAAAGCTGAAATACAACAGTTGTATTTGTGACAGTCTGAACTTTAACAGCAACCTATAGACAGATGCAGAAACATGACAGACAAGGTAAAACCATCTGTCCTATAGACAGTATAAACACCTTTCTCTGGAGATCGTAATATTATTGAGTATCCCTGTTTTGAGAAGGAGTTTTACCTGTAATCCTGAATGGCCTGACCATTGGTTTGATCTCCCACACCTCTGGTATAGTCAAACTAGTCTTATACCTGTCCATATTAGCTGTATTACCATAATCCACCAAGAAGACATCAACCTTGAAACCAGGCCTTTCAGCTGTAATCCAGCCTCTGAATACAAAACAGTACACTCTAACTACAACACAATGTGATGTTCATGGCTTTATAAATATATACTATATTATTTCAAGCAATAAGCACAAATCTGATAATAGCCTCTCCCCATATATATATGGCTGTTCTCTAAAACAATTAACAAATGTCATTTCACTGTCTGGTTTTAATCCCATCACCTGAGTTGGAGGTGGGCTGATTTCAGGATAAGCACTGTACTATTGCTAGTAATTGGAATACCATGCAAGTTATTATGGGAAATATTCCAGTTAAAGGACAATAGGTCATGCTAAAAATATCCTGGGTGTTAAACCTGGGGACGCTTCGTATCAGAAATTTCTATCACACTTAGAATTTCAGTAGCTTATTTAATTAAACAGACCTGAACCATTCATCATCAATCTGTGCAGCACACCTGCCAAGGCCCTTAGTATTTCCAATTCTAGTCTCAATACATTGAAGATCATTCATCACTGTGTTCAGGTATGCGATAGAGTTTTTCTGTAAGCATAGATTGACTTCACACTAAAACATGTTTATAATCTTAACAAAATATGTTAATAAATAGAACGACAGCACAAATCATGTGATAACAGATTGAAGAAAACCTTAGTTGTATCAATAAGTACTGAAATAGCCATATAATGCTTATCGATATTACTGTAAGTTACTTGTATTTCAAGTGGATTTATTTTTGCATTACTTGTAATATGAGAGGAGAGTTGACAGTAAATTCAAACTCCTTACGATTATTTGTACAAAAATAACTCTTGATGACATCCATGCTGATTCAGTTACTGATATCAGATCTATATATCTAATAGCCCATCATTCGCGAATTTAAAGCCATTTTAGACCACAGTTCGTGAAATTATATATAATCACAAATATGTCTGAAGAGGTAAGTTTGCAAAATAAAGTACCGATATTCACAAAATCTAAGAGATTTACAGTATGTAGTCTAGTGCAAAACATGTACATGACAAACTCATTCACAGGTCATTAACACTGAACCAATCAATAAGAAATGAATTCCTTTACCTAGACATGTTTCAAGCAAATTGGTCATAATTCATTTGAGCATTGTAAAATAGTTAAACTGTGTGCACAAGATGTCTGCATGATGTATGTAAGATAGGAAAACTGGACCAAATAAGCTATCATACATCTGTGCACACACTGTTGTGCAGTTCTATCGCAAAAAGGTGCGAGTCGCTCATGGCTGGTATAAATTTAGAAATGAGAACCCTTTGGGCCAGATGACCTTAAAAAAGGCTTGTCTTTATTCCATGTGAAGATATCAAATTTTACATCAACAATTTATGACAGCTCTTTTTATAAATTTCATACTGATGGCTGAAGTTAAGTAGTTTTAACAACAGCTTGAAGTAGCAGATTGTTTAGGACTTATCAAACAGACAAAGGATTTATCTACAAGTTTTAGTTTTAATGTTTCAATTTTTGGCTATTTCATTTCATCCTCAAAAACAGCTTAAATCAGTACCCATCAAAATAAACAACATTGCCAGTATATGCTGAATACACCACTGATTATAGTTTTGTAAGAAATGCTAACCATTTAACAGTAGGAAATAATAATTAGTCTACTAATTGAGGCACTCATTCAAAATGGCAGTCTTGTATTCAAGCACAATACCATGTAAGATATTTATGATAATTCATAATTGTTGGATTGTGCACAGAAAATATGCAGATTTCCCTTTTTCATAATGTGCATTCATTAAAAATAATCAATATTCTGTCACACTGATGAACTCTTTACAATAATAAAGTGATGTAATCTCTTCATAAAAGATAAAACCAAAGCTTACATCACGTATGACTTGTCCCCAAAAGTGTTGATCATCAAACACTGAGGTAACATAGACATTGATCTCTTCATTGGTATTAAACGATAAGTCCCGTCGCCGTACTCCTAGTTTGCCCATGATAATCTTGTATGTCATAAGCAGAGAGTTGAAAGTCTTTTTGATGATGGTGGTCTCTGATATCTTAGTGTCCTGACTGGAAGACGAGGAAGATGAAGATTCTCTGTACATGGCTCCATCCCTTTCAAAGCTACGACCACGCCCCCTCTGCATGTCACACAGATTTTCTGTAACAATAGTATATATTATCATGATGATTCATTATCATTTTTTTTTCCAGTATTGGAAAACATCTGAAATGTTTCCCAACACAAAGCTTGGTGAGGATGTTACAGTAATTGACATGATCATAATGTGATAACCAATAAACATCATGTCCATATTTTAACATAGATATAATTATAATTTATTCTATAGGCAAAAACATCATTAACTAATACCATAAAACTTAATTAAATAATATGAAATTTATCCTCATGGAATTTTACAATGTTTCGCCTAAAGATAAGCTTTTATGATAGACTGTTGAAAACCTTCATCTATAATCACACATATTTCTGTGGTGCAGATTGTCATTTACCTTAACTCGAAGTTACAGACATTTACCGACATTTACTTTCATCTAAAGCAGCATTTCTGTATCAAAGATTGTCCATATTGTTCACACAAATCACATTTCCATGGTACAGACTATCAATTACTTCCAAAGACACAGTTTTCTGATACAGACAGTCATTGACACTTACCTGCACCCAAAGTAACATTTCTGTGTGATGCCCCTGTTAATGAAAAAGGGTATTTACAAGAAAACCATCACAACAAATGCATAAAAATGAGGATTGTAATCTTTGTGTTTATCTTATGATCACCTTTGTGAGTGGGTACCAATATCTTAGATTGATACTGTACCATGCTTTCTACCCTTGTGTAAACATTACATACCAAAACAGCTCTTTGATAAAGAAATGTATTGACACTGACCAGATTAAACCTGGTTTCTCTTCTACATTTTACAGTTAATAAAACTTCATGACAGGGAAAACAGCATTACAATACCACTGACATTTACAAATATGTAATTATTTATGTGCTACAGTCACCAGTTTCATACTCCTTAACTTAAGGAATTTTCCTTAACTTAAAATTGCCCATAGGAAAGCATTATGTAAGTTTGGGAAATTTCTTAAATTTCAGTTTTTCTGAACTGATGTAATGCTTTCCTATGGGGGTCTTTAAATTGAGGCCTAATGATAAATTATAAAAAAGTAGGGTGTTAAACTATCCCCAAGATCTGAATTTTGAGTGGTTTTACTTCATACAATGAACAAAGAAAAAAAATATCCAAAATCGTCATTCAAACTGATGAATGCTCACCCGAAACGGTTTTGGGAACATAAAATGTTAACACAGGGCAATAACTCTGTAATTGAGGGGTTGCAAGTCCTCACATTGGTCCACTGCACATTGTCTTTGTATAATCAATGTATACACCAAGTTTCATGATCCTTGCTTAACTGTGAGCAAAGTCATGCTCCAGACACCGACGGACAAGGTGTTGATTATATGCTTCCCCTGAAAATTTTCGGGAGCATAAAAAAACAGGAAGAAATATAATGTCATATCCTATTGCAGAATTCTGTGGTAATGTTAATACGACATAGCTTTACATATATTACCCCTCCTTCATACCTGATCCACCGATGGTACACTTGATGTTGTGGAGGTTCTGGGGGGAGGTGAACACAGATGCTGGTTCATAGGCAGGGTCCTCTTTGGCCATACACACCAGAAGTCTGCGGCCTCGATGATATGTCTGGTCAAGTTCCATCATGGCACGGTTAGCCATCTCCATGTTGGCTACTGTCACAATTGCACTCGTCCTACAATGTGTCTATTCATTCTTTAAACAACTCATGATCATATACATGTCTAAAATGGAAGTTTTCATGTCTAATCAACAGGGTAATTACAGGGAAGTTTTCATGTCTAATCAACAGGGTAATTAAAGGGAAGTTTTCATGTCTGATCAACAGGGTAATTACAGGGAAGTTTTCATGTCTAATCAACAGGGTAATTACAGGGAAGTTTTCATGTCTAATCAACAGAGTAATTACAGGGAAGTTTTCATGTCTAATCAACAGGGTAATTACAGGGAAGTTTTCATGTCTAATCAACAGGGTAATTACAGGGAAGTTTTCATGTCTAATCAACAGGGTAATTAAAGGGAAGTTTTCATGTCTAATCAACAGGGTAATTACAGGGAAGTTTTCATGTCTGATCAACAGGGTAATTACAGGGAAGTTTTCATGTCTAATCAACAGGGTAATTACAGTCAACATGTCTAATCAACAGGGTAATTACAGGGAAGTTTTCATGTCTAATCAACAGGGTAATTACAGGGAAGTTTTCATGTCTAATCAACAGGGTAATTACAGGGAAGTTTTCATGTCTAATCAACAGGGTAATTACAGGGAAGTTTTCATGTCTAATCAACAGGGTAATTACAGGGAAGTTTTCAGTCTAATCTTCATGTCTAATCAACAGGGTAATTACAGGGAAGTTTTCATGTCTAATCAACAGGGTAATTACAGGGAAGTTTTCATGTCTAATCAACAGGGTAATTACAGGGAAGTTTTCATGTCTAATCAACAGGGTAATTACAGGGAAGTTTTCATGTCTAATCAACAGGGTAATTACAGGGAAGTTTTCATGTCTAATCAACAGGGTAATTACAGGGAAGTTTTCATGTCTAATCAACAGGGTAATTACAGGGAAGTCTTCATGTCTAATCAACAGGGTAATTACAGGGAAGTTTTCATGTCTAATCAACAGGGTAATTACAGGGAAGTTTTCATGTCTAATCAACAGGGTAATTACAGGGAAGTTTTCATGTCTAATCAACAGGGTAATTACAGGGAAGTTTTCATGTCTAATCAACAGGGTAATTACAAGGAAGTTTTCATGTCTAATCAACAGGGTAATTACAGGGAAGTTTTCATGTCTGATCAACAGGGTAATTACAGGGAAGTTTTCATGTCTAATCAACAGGGTAATTACAGGGAAGTTTTCATGTCTAATCAACAGGGTAATTACAGGGAAGTTTTCATGTCTAATCAACAGGGTATCATTACAGGGTAATTACAAGGAAGTTTTCATGTCTAATCAACAGGGTAATTACAGGGAAGTTTTCATGTCTGATCAACAGGGTAATTACAGGGAAGTTTTCATGTCTAATCAACAGGGTAATTACAGGGAAGTTTTCATGTCTAATCAACAGGGTAATTACAGTCAACATGTCTAATCAACAGGGTAATTACAGTCACCATGTCTAATCAACAGGGTAATTACAGTCACCATGTCTAATCAACAGGGTAATTACAGGGCAGTTTTCATGTCTGATCAACAGGGTAATTACAGTCATCATGTCTAATCAACAGGGTAATTACAGGGAAGTTTTCATGTCTAATCAACAGGGTAATTACAGGGAAGTTTTCATGTCTAATCAACAGGGTAATTACAGGGAAGTTTTCATGTCTAATCAACAGGGTAATTACAGTCATCATGTATAATCAACAGGGTAATTACAGGGAAGTTTTCATGTCTAATCAACAGGGTAATTACAGGGAAGTTTTCATGTCTGATCAACAGGGTAATTACAGTCATCATGTCTAATCAACAGGGTAATTACAGGGAAGTTTTCATGTCTAATCAACAGGGTAATTACAGGGAAGTTTTCATGTCTGATCAACAGGGTAATTACAGTCATCATGTCTAATTAACAGGGTAATTACAGTCAACATGTATCAATCATTAAAAAAGAGGTACATGTTTATACATTATTTCCATATTTTCACACATTTACAGTTATGTAAATATACATTATGTTAAACTATTAAGATTACAAGGTTCTAGGCTTAGCTAAATATAGACTTGTGGACTTTAGAAAACATACAGATGCTAAAGTTTAATTCATGTAAATTTTAATCCCAACAACTAACCAATTATACAAAGCCATATGCTTTCAAGTTATTTCTAAATGAGTACTTTGATTTTGAATTTGAAAATGACTGACATGATTTTCTCCCTTGACTCTACAGCAACCTGTGCTGAATAACACATATTTTGGTTGGTAAGAAGGGAAAAAAATTAGGGCCCTGCCCCAAAGTTCATAGTGGTCGAATCAACTTTCTGAATTTCAGAAATGATTTCCCACTCTCAATGACATTTCAGAGCAAATTTGGTTGAAATCCATTCAAGCCTTAAAAAGGAGTCACGTTTTGAAGTAAAATATTGTCTAATTTCCCCTTTCAGAACCCTGTCACCAAGACCCTAGGGGTTGAATTGAATTTCTGAATTAGAGACATAATTGCCTACCCTATGGTTTTGGTCATCTTGACCCTTTGGGCCAACAAATCAACAAAATTAAAAAAATAGCTCCGCAAACGCAGGCAATACCCCACAGCCTTATTATAAAGTTGGGTGCAGGGTTGAGATTGTGAAGAACCTCAATTGGCTTTGTAGGTCCATAGGCCCAACATGCCCATTGAAAATGGTGATCGCTGGTGATGTCGTTCTTGAGATAATGAGCGAAATGCAATTGTGGATGGACAGACAGACAGACGGACAGACGCAGTACGTAATCGCAATACCCCACACCCTTTCAGTCTGTGGGGTAAAAAACCTTGGACTCTATCACTACTTCAAGGTGACAATAACATAGATATTTATGTGTACTGATGTTAAAAAATACACTTAGAGGTTAAGTCAGTTTATTTAAAGTGAAATACCAACAGTCACTATAATTGCTTTGTGGAGATAACATTTTATCAAACAATATTTCAGATAATATAGATATAAAAACAAAACAACAGTTTAAGAATACACCACTAGTGATGACATAATTATCTGAGTCGTGATATAATTTTTTGAGTTCTGACCTATCAGAATGGTGATATCTAAAGAGTATTCAATGGAAATTTGCTGATTTTTCTGTGTAATGACAAATGAAATGTTTTGAATAAGTATGGAATTCAACAAATCTTAACTGTGTATGCTGTAAGGTTTCTTTAAATTTGTGTCTTTTCAAAGTTTGGTAGTAATTCTGCACAGAGAACAGAATACAACAAAAGGTACTGTGTATAGTGGCCAATTAAAAATTATCCTGTCTCGTTACCAACTACACAACAGTAGGTACTGTGTATAGTGGCCAATTAAAAATTATCCTGTCTCGTTACTACACAACAGTAGGTACTGTGTATAGTGGCCAATTAAAAATTATCCTGTCTCGTTACCAACTACACAACAGTAGGTACTGTGCATAGTGGCCAATTAAAAATTATCCTGTCTCTTTACCAACTACACAACAGTAGGTACTGTGTATAGTGGCCAATTAAAAATTATCCTGTCTCTTTACCAACTACACAACAGTAGGTACTGTGTATAGTGGCCAATTAAAAATAATCCTGTCTTTATACCAACTATACAACAGTAGGTACTGTGTATAGTGGCCAATTAAAACTGGTCCTGTCTCGTTACCAACTACACAACAGTAGGTACTGTGTATAGTGGCCAATTAAAACTGGTCCTGTCTCGTTACCAACTATACAACAGTAGGTACTGTGTATAGTGGCCAATTAAAATTTATCCTGTGTTGTTACCAACTACACAACAGAAGGTACTGTGTATAGTGGCCAATTAAAACAGGTCCTGTGTTGTTTAGTAGGTTACCTATCCCTTGCTGGGATACCATCCAGCATATCGCAGCGATTGAAGAAGAGGGGCACACTTATTATTTTGAAACATCTACTGGTTTCAATGGAACATTTAGCTACCCTGAGGTACTACAATTCTGGGCACATTGATATTGTTATTTGTGACATCACACAATTTAGGCCAAGTGATTGCTTTTGTTTTATAATATTCTAAGGTATTCAACCATGGTTATTTTTATAGTATATTTTGACAAATTTCAAAGAAATATTTTCTAGATGTCTAAATGCAATACATGTTACATATGAAATAATGTGAATAAAATTATTTTTACACATTGTATTAAAAATAATCCAATTAATGAAAATTGCAAATTTTGTACACTTTTTAAATTTTCCAAAAAAAAAAAGTGCAAATTGCATTGCAAAAATAAGCCAATATACAGTATCAAAATGATCTAAATACACGGCTATAAAACCATACAATTATGTTAATGTCTTTCAAAGAAATACTATATCAAAATAAATACATAAATATCTACCTTGATGACAAGATTATCTACTTACGTCTTCCTCCTGTCATTATTGTTTCGTATCTCCACACATTTAACACCATACGCACCAAATAAGTTGGCCAAGTCATACTGTAGGAAAAAAAACAAACATTCATGATCTCAAAAAAAAACCAACTTATCTTAACATTGTTCTTTGATGGTAATTTTAAGTAATTAAAAAAGTAGGCCCTGGATGAAAGGTTGCTCAACACTCAGATTTATTTGCGAGTCTGAAATGAATTTTTTAAACAATGAATTGGAACACTGCCTAGGGCAAGAAGTTCTGTAAAAATATTAACCACAGTGAATATGTCCATGTAATATTTCTGCATATTACATGTGTAGTTCGTGAATAAGAGTACCAACAAAACAAAAATTAAACCTCTTCCAAAATAAAATGATTTCATCGTAATTTAACAATCTTACAGAGCTACCTTACAAAAAGATGTAGAAGGAAACATGTCGAAGAAACTGCAGTCATCCATACATGAATTTGACATGAAAGTTTAGTCTTTCTTTTCACAAACACAGGAATTAAACATTTGTCTGTGAAGTTGTAAACATGTTGTAGTGTTATTTGTCTCTGCTATATTGTTTCTTTTTTTGAGTCACATCAATGCCCACCATCCAGCTTGCAAGCAATAATATGTGAATATCTAATAAATGTTTAGATATTCATTAAAAATTAATGCTGTCCATTTCAACATGAGCTATTAAACGAAAGTATCATTTTTGTTGTTATTGTTGGAAAATATAATATATATTTTCTGATAGTGTTTTTACCATTTAAGATGCTTTAAAACACTAACAGTAGATTTCACTGGTATTAATGTATACTATGTATAAATAACATGAAAGTGTCTAGAAGTGGCCACATATATATATATATATATATATATGTGAGCATATTTGTTGTTAGCACTGAATCTTCAAATGATAACTGCCCTTCAGTTTACAGAAACATTTTGAGATACAGTACAACACACAGTTTCATTTTCATGAAACTATTGCATTAGAAAGTCACCCAAAAGTATATGACAAGGAAATTCTTTAAGTTACATTTACCCTTTATATATTTTTCAATCGAGTAATATCAAACTTCCAATGAAATGTATACACTAACCTCATTTTCAAAGTAAACAAAGTTTCCTATGAACAGCATCACTGGACGGTTTTTATCATCCACCTTATACATTCCCTGCTGTCTGCTTCCTATCTTCTCTAACGCAGGCATTTCATCATGTCCACCTATTAGCTCAAGGTCTGGCATTCCTGAATATTTACTCTCTATAGGTTCAAGGCTTGGCATTCCCGAATATTTATCACCAGTTGGCTCAAGTTTTGGCATTTTCTCATTCTGACTTACATGCTCAGGGGAAACCATCTCATTAAAATCCGGCATTTTTGGTTTCCTTGTGTTCTGAGGAATGCCTTTTCGGCTTTCCTGTGGTAAATGTCCTTGGTGAGAGGGTTTCTCAGGGGTTCTGATGGGGGATATCATGGGATGAAGGTTTTGTGGGCTTATCACTGGGGATGGATTTGACTTTGATAATGATGTTTTATTTGTATCTACTGATAAAGCAGCCATTTTTGAGGCCAGACTTTCATGTCCATTGCTCAGTTTTTCGTAAGTCTGCTCACTGCTGTCAGGTTCTTCTCCCCACTCATCCCCATCTTCAACAAGGTGGGGCAACTTTTTTGATCTTCTTTCCATATTATCTCCCCCTGAATTCACTTTGTTTCCTTTCAATACAAAACAACATCCATTTTCTACATGAAGTTAACTACTAGCAATGGTTCAAAACAAACAACAGCATATCTTACTTTGCATACTTTAATTAAGATATCAATTAACAGTTACTGAATCCAACAATTTTCTTTAGATTATTAATGTAATATTTAGTTGTCTTCCTGCCCCAACTGCATAAACTTAAGAGGTGACTTATTTTTTTTATCTTATCTCTACTTACTAAACAACTGCTCTTTACAGTCTCACTTTTTGCGCTTAGCTGAGAATTTACCACTGTAAGGACATCTTGGTACCAGGTGAAAATCTCACAGTAAATAAGTGACAATAAACTTTTCACCTGGGGCCAAAGATGCTGTGAGGAAGGATTCGAGTACTGTCCCCTAGCCGAGAGATACCAGTCTTTAACAAGAGATCCCAGAGAGATCTTGGTGCCCACCATTGTTTGATCTTTATATGTTCTTAGAAAGTCGGATCTTTTCTCTTCTCTTCTCTGTGTTTGCTCTCAATGATAAGACATTTGAACATTCTTCTGCAGAAATAGCAATGATAATCTTTACCTGCCAAATCCAAAATTACCACCTGGAAACCATTTGTTTTTCTGATCACACCCAAAATCAAATGGGCACAACTAGGTACCAAGGGGAATCTACATATGAAATTCACGAAAGATACATTCAGTACTTCTCAAGAAATAGCAATAACAAACTTTCAAAGTCAAGATCCAAGTTGGCCGCATGTCGGACATTTTTTTCTCTGATAAGTCCCCAAATTACATGGGCACAAGAGACCAATGGGAACCTACATGTGCAATATGAGAGCGATCCATTTCTGACTTTTCAAGAAAAAGCAATAACAAACTTCATTGAAAAAAATCAAAGATGGCTACCTGCTAGCCATCTTGTTTATATTATCAGTCCCAAAAATCGCAACTAGGGACCAAAGGGAACCTACATTTGCAATTTGAGAAAGTTTTTCTCAAGAAATAGCAAAAAAAAATTGTTTATGGACGGGTGGATGCCAGGATGTGAGGGGGGGACGGATGGACCATAGACGCAGAGCGATTTGAATATCACACCATCATCAAATAGTAGTTACTTATGCTTATTTAAAGCTAAGTATTGTGGTGGTGCTGGTTTACCTGTTGTCAGTATATCATGTGACTGGATTGAGTATCCTGCTGGGTGCCTTTGGTGTGGTTACACTATAAAGTCAGCTTAGTTCTATACTATAACATGGAGGCTTAAAAAATGTATCACAGCCTACTAAATCTATCAAACTCATCACATGTATTTTCCTCATACTAGAAGGGTGACCGTAAGTGACCATAGATAGATATCATGGTCAACAAAGCATGCGACCATAGATAGATATCATGGTCAACAAAGCAGGCTTCAGGCTAAGTTTTAAGAAAATTTTGTCATTCTAAGGGATGAAGAATTTTCTTAATTTCCCCCATTGGTCAACACTGCTGACAGTAAGACTTAAGTGATATGTTTTAGCACTTTGGGTTGGCCAGTGACAATATATGCAAACCATCAAAACTGTCATCTCATACTTATAACTTTTATTTCCAATGAAAAACAAACAAAAATTTTTTAAAAATCTGATTTTCCTATATAAGCCCCCTCCCCAGGGGAAATGTGAGTCCCTGGGGTCATGAAATTCACAATTTTGGTAACACACCTGAAGACCACGAAAAGTATTTGATTCTACCATATCTGGGTATTGAGAACAAGATATTTGAACTTTGACACCTTTTGACCAACCCCTTTGGCCTCTAGGGGAATGGGACCTTACGATTCACTATTTGGTTCATCTTTAGCCAGGGAAGGTTTCCACAAAATTTCACTGACACTGGTTTCAGGGTTTTGAAAGAAAGTTGGAAAAGTTTAAGGACACACAATGCTGGAATAAAACTCACCATGGGAGTAAAATCCGGTCATTCCTACAGAAGAGATTGCAAAGAATTTCTTTAAAAGTTCCCCTTTTGGGCCCCATCCCTCTGCTACAATATGACAGAGACCCATCATTCATACAAAACTGGTCCTCACACTCTGTTCGAAACAGAATCAGACTCTCTGAACCCTCTTTATCCAAGAAGGCTTAAGATCAAATTTAAACAAAATCAAACCACACCTACAGAAGAAAAATATTTTGAAGATTTTGTAAAATTTTCCCTTTTGGGCCTATTGGGTTGGAGATCCCTAACTACATCACTGACTCTCCTTCACTCAATAATGCTCCACACTAAATTTCCTTCAAATCCACCAATCGTTAAAATCTTGTAGAGATTTAAAGAAAATTTTGACAGACACAAGACACTGCATCATGGCAGAAGTTCATCAGTCCTTTAGACCAAAAGGATCTTGGCTCCTACCCTTGTTTAATCTTCATTTATTTTATAAAAGTTAAATTCTGTCCCTTCTTTCCTCTGTGTCTAACCTTAACTATATGAACTTAAAAATTGTTTCTGAAGATTTTTTTATTTTTTATTTTTCTAACCAGTCCCAAACTCAAAAGGGCAAAACTTTTGACCAAGAGGAATCTAAGACCAATTGAAATGTGAGAAAGATCCATCCAGCGATAACAAACTTTCATTTTCAAAATCCAAGATGGCTACCTGCTCACCATTTTTTATTTCTATTATCATTCCAAAACTTAATGGGAGCAACATTTCTGTACTTCTGAAGTAATAGCAATAACATTGTCAAAATCCAAAATGGCCACCTTTCAGCCTCTTTGTTTTTCTGATCAGTACAAAAATCAAACAGGCACAACTAAGAACCAAGGGAAACCTACATTTGATATTTGAGAAAAATCTGTCCTGTACCATTCAAGAAAAAGGAATACAAACTTTTCAAGTCAAAATCCAAAATTTGAGAAAGATCTACACAATACTTGGTTATGGTTATGAAGATATGAGGGACTTTGAGCAATCAGAATAGCCCACCACTTATCTGCTTATACAAACCTTGGTTACTTATGCTTTTTTTTTCAAAAGTTGGTTTGTCTGGTTGAGCAAATCTCACATTCAGTTTTCTTCCCTCCCACTCCATTTGATCCAGTTCACGAATCAGTTCTGTTGCCTTATCTATTTGGTTAACATGGAAATCAGCGAAAGCAAACCTTAAATAATAAAACAAATAAAACACTGTAAATCTTAATTAATAGAACGCCAGTCATAGTCACTATTTTAACCTTTGATAACTGCATGGAGCATTTTCATTGACTCATGACTTCAATAGAAACAAACTGAAAAGTACATCACTAGTTCTTTATATTAAATACAGAGACAAAATCTAAAGAACTGATACAGTCTATACATAGCCCATAATTACAACTGCTTATTTCATCTCTTTATTAATTTTTTTCAAAATATTTTTACTGGTAGTATGACAAAACTTCTTTACTCTACTTAATAGTGGTAAATGATGATCGTCAAAGTATGGAACTGTAAGAAATATGTATCAATTTTCAACATAATTGGAAAATACCTTCATTTCGACCAATCAGAACTCTCCATTATGTTTCCATAATAATGGATCTATAAATGTTTCAAATTACACCACTTGACCAAGCTTCATTAAAATTCATTGTAGGAGTACGAAAAACACAAAACCTGTGTATAATGACCTTGTTATCATGGCAACCAAAATTTTTGGTGAATTTTTTTCCCAACTGCATGCAAATCTACACACTTTCCCTAACATTCCTGTGTTCATTTATGTTTGTTTTTAAGTGTTGGAAAAGTTGTTCTGACAAAATTCTCCTATGACCAGACACACAGACAGACAAGCTAATTCCAGAACACATATTTTTAACTCCAATAATGTTTTCTGATTGGAAAAATTAATTCAAGGTATTTCTTTACATTGAGAAATGTTCCTAAAATTAGGGCTTGATGTTTCAAAACTTGTAACTACATAATACACAAAAGTACAGATATAATGATTCATGCTAAGACGTCACATACACAAATGCTTCAGAAGTTGTTATAATGATTGGCCACTTACACTTTCCTTGGATCTGCCTTGGGTTTCACCAATCGCACAGTAAGTGGACAGAAAGGCTCTAGAAGTTCATCAAACTGTTCCTGTGACAGAAATTCATGTTAAGCTTGATGAAATATTGAAAGGGAAGATAATGCAATTACTATAGTAATGCGCAGTCATAAAAGATACTGTTCCAAGGCTAAAAATAATTCATTTGATCTTTATCCTTTCTACAGAGCCAAATAACTCAGTAATGCACAGCAATAAAAGATATTGTTCCAAGACTAAAAATAATTCATTTGGCCTTTAAATCCGTTCTACAGAGCCAAATAAATCAGTAATGCACAGCGATAAAAGATATTGTTCCAAGACTAAAAATAATTCACTTGGCCTATAGATCTGTTCTACAGAGCGAAATAAATCTGAGCCTACAAAATATAGGAATATGTAAATGACATGTTAAGCTTACCTTGGTAACATGCTGGTTGATGTTCCCTATGTATACTTCTATTTTATCGCCATAGGCTGTAATATAAATCAGACTTAAATTCTTCTCTAACATTATGATAGATCTCACTGTATATCGTTTTTTCTCCTGTAGTCTCCATAGGAACAAGAGACAAAATGAACCAACATCAATCAGCTGGTATTCAATGGTTCTTTTTCCAGAAATACATTAACACTTTATATTATCACTGACATTGAAAGTAGGTGTATATCAAAAATCTATTTTAAAAATTATGAAACAAACAAGCTGATAAAGCAAGATTAACAATATTGGTCTACAACTATGGATCCTCTTTTGACAACTGAAGTTAATACTATTTATGGGTAGGTGAAACTGTTCATGATTTGAATGTTTAAACAACTTTGAATCAAGTTCCCAAGAATACAGGTCACAATTAGGAAACTATGGGAAATCTACACCTGAAACTTGAGAAAGAAATAGCAACCACAAAGTTTCATTGTCAAATTCTAATATGGCTGCCTGTAAGCCTTTTAGTTTACTTGAGCAGTCCCAAAATCTAAAACGAAGTTCTTATAACACAAAAGATGTTCTACTAGTTACATATACTGTTTCTGTCATAAGATCCTCTATTCTATTAACATTACCAATCTGAAGGAAATGCTTCCAAAAAAATGCAGTACATGTATTTTGCAGTTGTTAAATTGTGAAAATACACTATCTAAAATTTGGGAAGCACACAAAGCGTTACTTTATATCATCACTTAACATTTTAATTGAGGGGAATTACTGTGCAGTCAATAAAAACTTACCTGATAACATTGGTGCTTTGTTTTTTTTCTGGACAAGGTACTCCTGAGCATCTCCAGAGTTCTTTGGTTGTATCTGGTTACCAGTTTTTGGTTTCCTTTCTTCTGCAATCTTCATCTCAAGACATGAATTATACTGATTCAGACACTCAATTGCACTGGATTTATCTCTGAACCGGATGAATATCAAGCTTAAAAAAGTAAAAAGCAATTATTCATAAGAACTATGCATAATTATAAAATGCTTTGCCTGTCCCACTTTGTTAGTAATGGTACATGGTATTTCATAAACAAATGCAAATTTAAATCTTAGCCCCTACCCCCATCCATACACCAAAATTCCAAATTTTAATTAACACACTGTAATACATTAACGCTATAAATACATTATTGTCATGTTTAAATACTGATGCATTGTAATTAAACATCAAACAAAAATTCTGTAAATTCTCCACTTCTGAATCTACAATCTAATATGGAATTTTTACCCCAAACATCACTCTTCCCAAGGAAGGACGAGAAAACTTGTTAGATATTTTACATTACATGTACTTTGTGCCTATAAACTAATTATGTATTGAATGGAAAAAGTCATTTCTCAAAATCCAAATTTTTTTGTCTAAAAATACAAAAAAAAAAAAATTTATATAATCTATCTAATGAGCTAATATGCCCATGCTACAATGTAATCATATTCCAGGTGTGATTGGAATAGCGGTTTTACTTGATTAGAAACTGACTAGCTTCTCAGTATCCCTAATTTTCAGGAAATTATTCCGAAAGATATTTCGTAAATGATGGATGTGTTGAATTGTCTGTTATGTGATCCAATTACGTACCAAGTAAGGTTAACATTTAATTCATACTTTTTGAGCAATGGATCTAAACACAAGGTTTAAAGTAAAGTGTTGATGAAGATGACTGCACAACAACAAGAGGCCCATAGGGCATGTATTGCTCCCCTGGATCTTAAAGCCCAGCATTGTTAAACATGCATATACATTGGGTATTTCAAATATTTCCAAATTTATGCTCAGTCACTTAATCTCTTTGATTGGGCAAGACAAATGGGTAAATTCTTATATCACTCCGGTCTTTCTCTTTTGATTCCCAGTGAGAGTTTATATGGTTATTAGGTTGGTATCACAATTATATCAAAAATATGACCAAGAAATAATGTCCCTTTAGGTGTGCCACACCCAAAGGTCAATTCTTACATAACTTAATTTATGTGTTTATATCTCTATGCCAAGCTTTTCTTTATAGTTATGGGGTAGGGATTTCAACTGTTTCAATGATATTACCTAGAAATTAAGTCCAGTGGGGTGGGGCCACCCTAAGGGCTAGTTTTTACATTGTTAATGCAGTCCCTTCCAGCCCATGGGGCCCCGAGATCCAGTGTTCATACAAAACTGATTCCACTTCATCCAAACATGATTGACATCAAATAAGGAAAAAGCCAATCATTCCTACAGGAAGAGTAGGATTTTAAAGAGTTTGCTCTATTTTTCCAAATGGACCCCGCCCTCATGCCCCTGGGGCCCGAGATACTGTTTATACAAAATTTATTCAATTTCATCTAAAGATGCTTCAGACCAAATTTGGGCAAAAGCCTATAATTCCTACAGGAGGAATAGGATCTAACAGAACTTGCCAAATTTCCCCTTTTGGGCCTGGACAGTCAGGCCATGGGGGCTGGGACACACCATTTATACAAAAAAAAATGTTCTCCTTCCCCTAAGGATGCTTCTGGCTAAATTTTGGTGAAATCCCCTCTGTTGTTCATGACAAGTAGCATTTTGTAGAAAAAGCTGACAGATGATGGATGCTGCGGAATCCCTCTGACTCACTTGGCCCTTCGGGCCAGGTGAGCTAATAATATTCAACATGTACTGAGACTCTTATATATAATCTATTAAATTCAAACTTGATAAGATATCAAAATAAAAGCAGTTCAATGTCAATTCAAGTAACTGGTTTTCTTAAAATAGTGCACTATGATAATTAATTCCATCTTACCCAGGTATCAAGTTCACATCACCTATATACCCAAACTTCATGAATTTCTCCATTACATCCTGTTGAATAGAGGGTTAAACCATTAGCAAATGAAAAGTGTCATCCTTCCATCATTTTAAGTGTGAAAACTTATGGAATAAAAGCACAAATTACTCTAGTCAAATTTGCAAATTGTATTAAAATTTTAAGGACTATTTCTGTGAAAAAACTCACCTTGACACTTACCACTAGAAATAAATACTGTTTATACACAACTGATATCAGTGAACATGTATGTAAGATGAATCACTGTCTTAAGTGGATATTTATCCTCAGTATAAATGTAAATTTAAGAAGATCCTTTTTTTTAATTTTTTATTTTATACATTGACCATAACACCAATTGAAAATTGCCTAACATTCATACATGTACCTATTTATACATGGTGTTTGGGTGTTAAGCTAATGAAATTAAAAAAACAATAATAGTTTTTCTATATTGGGCCCTGCCCCTCTGACCCAAGGAGGCAGAGACCCATTGTTTATACAAAACTTATTTCCCTTCACACAAGCATACAGGTACTTCAGACCAAATCTGGACAATATCCTTTCAATTTTTGAAGAACAAGGTAGATTTTAAAGAATTAATAGATTTTTGCTATTGGGCCCAGCCCCTTTAGCACCAGGAGACCAAAAACCACCATTTATACAAAACTGATTTTCCTTCACCCAAGCATGCTTCAGACCAAATTTGGACAATATTCTGCAATTGATTTTTTCTTATTGGACCCCACTCCTCAGGCCGCCAGGAGGGGCAGACCCACCATTTACACAAAACTGTTTCCCCATTCACCAAGGACCGAATCCCTTCAGTTATTCATGAATAGTTGCAATATATAGTAAAAGTTGACAGACCGGCCACACTGTGGTATCCCTATAGCTCACTTGACATTTCGGGCCAGGTGAACTAATAAATTGGTATGGCTCTGAAAAGTTTGTGCTACAGTCACAAGGATAACTGAATATACATGCTAAACACCTCATTAAGTTAATATCTCCTTTTCACAGGCAGAGAGATTTGATTTATTAAAAACCTTATTACATAACATGTACTATAAACTCAAGCAGGAAATCATCTCATTTATCGATAACTGCAAAAGTAAGTCACTAAAATAACTGTCTTAATCTGACATCTAAGAATATTTTGGTTTGCAATAGATACATTCACTTCTTTCTCAGCTATAAATCTTGAGGGGTTAAATCATTCATGGAACTTTAAATTTTAGGAAGAGACAGAAAACTAATATATTTCATAGAACTTGCATTTTCAGAAAGGAGAAACCAACACTGCACCAGTTTTGACAGAATTTTACCTCTTCAGAAAAGCCCTTGGGCTCCTTGGACCTTGGATAACAAAGGCTGTACAAGCCTCTTGAATTCGGGTTGAGCTTGCCTTCGTAATCGGTAGATCCATTGCTGATGGCATTGGAGCTCCTTGGATCTGATAACACTGGAGATAAAACTCATTGTAACAAAATCCTGACACAAATTAATCTTGTAAAGGAGAAAATAATTAGTTATTTCCTGTACTTGACTTAATGTCCAAGGCATACCTGAAACCTCTCCCTATTCTGGAAGTGTAAATTATTTTGTTGTAAATTATAAATCTTTAGATTAAAATCAAACTAGTTTGATCCATTATAATCTCAACAGCATCTTTTGTAAGTAGGAACTCTTCAAACAAAGGTGATTTTAAACCTATGGGACAACTCTGTGAACATCAAATTACTGACTGCTTTGTTAAAAAATCTTAACATTATCATACCTTCTGTTGTTTCAACTTAAACCTCTCACCACATTGAGATACCGATACTCCAAAGAACATGCATGTATGTGTAGAAGTTTTGAAATGATGAGTTAACTCTGGCACAATTTGTTTGAAAGAAGGGAAATAACTTGTCTGCAATCTCAGCTGTACAACTTTGATTAATTCACAGTTAACAATACTTCAAACAACATTTTTTATATGTAAGGGTCAGTGTTATTACATTTTTGATAAATTGAAATACAAGCAAATTATTTTCTCTGATCAAAAGAAATTGAAACAGTGAGAAATATGATCAACACATAGTTGATCCAAATCAAAATATCACTGACAGGGAATTTTAGAAAGCAACCATCTGCTAAATATTTTAAAATTAGGGGCCATGTTTTGAAAAACATAGATGGTCTGGGAAAAAGAAAAAAAGTTATTCTCCCTTTATACAGTTGTCATTTGTCTTCCTTTTAATGGTTACCACTTATCTCGCTTATATGGTAAGCATTGAACTCCCTTTATATGGTTACCATATGACTCCTTTCATATGGTTATCATCCAACTCCTTTTAAAAGTTTAAAATTCATGTCCTGTGTATGACTACTGTCTCTCTTTAAATGACTTCCGTTTCTGACCTTTATACCAGTGTTTCCCCTTGTATTTTTAAGTGAGAGTACAGTGTACCAATAACAATGTATTTATATAGGATAGTGCTTGAAAACAGGAGTGACCAAGTTCAAGTCCCTTTATATGGTTACCATTTGACTCATTTATATGGTTACCTTTGATCTCCCATTCAATGGCTACAATTTGTGTCCTTCATACGGTCAGCAGTTGTATCCCTTTATACACCAACTACTTGACTCCTTTAACTGGCTACCATTTCTGTCCCTGTATTTGGTTACCATTTGACCCAGTTTTACTCCCTTTACAAGGCTAGTATTTGGTTCTATTTAACTGGTTTCCATGTGTTGCCCTTGATATGGTTATCATTTGTCTCCCTTTATTCAATTACCATTTGCCGGATCTGACGTCCCTCCTAAGCCTCGCTCTGCCTTTTTGGCCGATACACACATATACATTTTGGGGTCACCAATACCAAACATCTTATAAGCCATAGTATTATCATCAAATTCCAATCTGGAAAATTAAGAAGAAAAGTAAACTTATAGATTTTCAGGCTCTTTTGATTCTTTTATCATTCTTTCAACATTTTTATTTAAAATCTCAACACCCAGAGCAGCAGACAATAAAAGTTTCTAAAAATTTTACCATCTAAATTAACGCTGCCATTGAATGTAGCTTTTTAATGAAAGCAAATATTTTCTTGCATTGAATGAAAACAATATCCACTGAAGTTTGAATGATATTTCATGAAATTTTATCTTGTATTTCATTATTTGTGTTTAACTGAATCACAAATTCCTGGAGGCTTTAAAAAGAAATCGGTGTCATTCTGCCATAGAACTTGCCATTAACCTAAGTTCATAATCTAAATATTTTCAATGACGTTAATACAACTAATTCATCAGAAAATTCAACTGTTCATTTTACCTGACCACATCTGGCATTGCCTTTATAAAGTCTGTCATTGACTGGAAACCCAAACTCTTGTAATTTAGGGGTTTCTGTAGAAGACTCTTATAGTCCTTGGCAAAGTCACTGACAAGTACCCCACCAACTTTTGACAGCAGGACAGACCGAACATTCTTCTTCACCTCTTGTGGTACTTCCATGGCAATGACAGCAGCTCATTAAAATTCTAAAAGGTTGGAGATAGTGTGAATTAACTTCATAAATGTACAAACAAAATAATGAGATTCCAGAGAAATATTGGCAGCCTACATTGTCTGGTCTTTTTTCTTTATTTCTTTCATCTCCTTCTGGTCTTACCTATTTGGAAATTCCTCTATTAAGAAAAAAACAATCATAATCTTTGAGTACTCCAAGATGGTTGCCTAATGGACATTCCCCCCCCCCCCCCCCCCTTATCAGTCCCAAAATCAAAAGGGCATAATTAGAAACCAAAGGGAACTCGCATCTGCAATCCATCCAGTACTTCTCAAGAAATAGCAATGATAAGAATTGTTTACAGATGGACAAATAATGACAATAAAAGCAGGACAAAATGAAGACTAGTAAAGTATATATGGTGCTGCATTGATGTGAAACACTTTGTGCTTGCTTCCCCTAACAATGTGATAAATAAAACTTCAAGAGCTCTCCCCTATCATCCTTGGCCCCCATTGGCTGTCGAATTTATAGAGTAAAGCAACTGAAAGAGTGAAATGAAGGGATGTAATTATATGATATCAAACATAGGCAATGAGGTTCAAATAAATTTTTGAACTAAGAGTATGTAGTTCTTTGTAATGAAGGGATACACTGGATTCAATCCTGTGCATCCTCCAAAATCCAAGGATGTTCCCAACCTGTAACATACATGCTGTCCAATTTGTTTTACATCTCAATAAACATTTAGCAGACTGCAGTCCTATGGACATCCACAGTTCAATCCTGCACGGTAGAGTAAATATATTTTTACAGAATGGAAATAGTTTGTTTACCAATTTGAAATAAAAACAATAACAAAAACATTGCAGTGTCCGAGTTCAGAGGGAAACTCCTCTGTAATGAGAGAATGCGTTTGGATTCCAGTACGTACTCGCCCAAATTGTTCATCGAACCCATATCAATATGTAAAGGACAATAATTCGGATAACGCCTAAAAACCATTAAAAAAACAATGGCAGTAGTAGTAGAAGTAGACCTGTGTTTTGTTATTATGGTAGACCTTGAATTACGTATAAACACGACTGTGATACAATATGTACCATATAAGAAATTATGCATTACACAGTTTCGTCTAAGGCTTCATCTTAAGCATATCTTCAGTAACACATCAAAATGACAAAATTCTCTAGCTGCAATAATCACCTGAAACAGAAACCGTGTTGTCTTCCTACTCGCTAACTGTCCATGTGGGTGAATGTCGATTCTAAATTAAAAAACGGGAAACCGACCAATCCGGAATTATAAAGACTTGCAGTTCAGTCCTCAACATCAGCAAACTACTTGACGAATCCGGGAACATGAGGAAAGTACAATAGAATATGGATTGTTTTAATCTCCATTCTCCAATTTAACTTTCAACGTATTGAGTTAATATAGATACATAATACAATAAATATTTTTTTAGTATGCGGACCAGGGAAAACTTACACCTCCACGAGTGTCACCAACGTCAACTGTATAAATCCGGGCCAGGTGTGGAGGTGAAAACTGGACTTTTCACTCAGGATCTTGCAACATAAAAGACATGTTAAATATTGATGATTTACACTGATCGCGAGATTATCATCTCTATAACAGATATACATAAAATTGAACGGCAAATATCCCAATCAGAGAGGCATATTATTTATTTCCTAATGTACGTACATTTTAAAGGATTTTATTCGTGGGGCCAGAAGTACTTAATTGTCACGGGCATAGATCACGGGTCTCAGTCCATATGGGGGACGGAGCCGGAAGTTAAGAAACGGGAGTAATGGAATGTTAAGGGGTAGAGAGCCGATGATATGTTTCAAGTTTCACAGTTGGGAGGGGAAGGGGAGGATGCAATTAGGTGACTGGAAACCATTCTGACAATTGAATTTAAGTGTAAAAAAATATTTTCACCGTTTCTGAGTAACCACTCAAAACATACTTCCAGCTTACACAGTTGTTATTGTTAATTTTTCGAAATAACCAACAGCACAAAAGTACCGTTACATTTTGTCCATATTACTTGTTATCATGTGATTTATCAGAGAAGACATTCATAAAACTGAAATCTTACAAAGGTGTTCCGTAACATCCCCCATGGGTCTCTTGTTTAATGATAAGATAACATTGTAACATATAGATTACGAATAAGGTCACGTGATACAGATTATGATCAACTTGCAAAGAAAAAAAAACTCGTTGATGTCTACGAGGTATACGTCTATTTGGTATCATAATTGGGATAAAAAGAAGATGGGACTTCTGGCACACAGATGTACATGCTTTCGACATATTAGTTCAAGAAAATTGATACAACTAAAAAAGGAAAAAGGACAAGAGCATTATGGCTACGAATGTCAGAATTTCATTCAACTATAGTAAGTGAAATGCTCCAACTAAAGAAATATCGGCAAATGACAACTCTTTTACACAACCACGTCTAGTTCCAATTGTTGTAGCTGTACTGTGTTAGGAAAATGTTCGTTGTACCATGTAACGATATCTCAAGAGAACTGCTGTAGAACACAATGAATTTATTGACTGTTCTTAAGGAAGCTTTAGAACAATCAGTTTCATTACTGTAACTAAATGTCACTTCATTAGGACTATAAATGGAAGTAAAAAAAACAATTTTGTAAGAGGACAATATTGGCAATTGGCAACGTAGGCAATTGAAAGACAAGGAAGAAACAAGAAATAAGGGATGGGAACGGGGAAAATGGCCCTCTGTCCGCACCCTTAATATACGTGTACGTCTGCCATTTAACTTTTGGGAAAATGACAAAGAAATTTCAGAACACTTATTTCAATCATATGTTGTATTCCTCACTCCTCTATCCTCTTGCAGCGTTAAGTAGAGGACCAGAAATTAAAAACATAATTTTAATCAGATTGACTTCTGGATTTCTACAGACATTACTTTTAACACGAGCACATTTGAAACTAGGAAAATCCCGGGACATCGAATCACCGAAACGGACCAAAACGGACCGAATCGGACCGAATCGCACCGAAACGGACCGAAAAAAATATATATATAAAAACAGTATTGTATATTTTAAATCAGTATTTAACCTAAATTTTAGTAGTATCTCAACACTTAGATGTGTTCCAAATGGGGAGCATATGTTTTACAGAGAATATTGATATTTTAAGATTAAATCACAAACTTATCATCTGTCAATACTAAATTACATACTAGAAAATTTCTTACATTGATCACAAAAGTAATGTCTTTCATAAGTATCTAAAGTGAATCTTTTTCACAATGTGTATTATATATATTTTGTAGTGTCAGTATTTGGCTGGATATTTTTTATATTGATGTTTTCTGCATTTTATTTTAACGGTCCTTCAACATGGGACACATTAATAAAATAAGCATTTTTTTTTTGTATGCTTCTTTGTGATGACTTTGCGGTAACCACTGAAACCTGAAGCAATGAAAGGCCATGACTTCTGTACTTGTTACACGCGTGGGTGTTTTTTTTTTTTTTTTTGTGTAGACAGGTAAGACATATAAATGAAGGCACGCGTCTATAGTTTTACGGTTGAGTATTTCACACCTTAGTCTCTTAAACCGCGCGTGGCTAAAACCTTTGATGTGGATACGGTATAGAACAATTACCAATCATTTGGTTTATGATATTCCAAAGTAAACAAATTAAAGGAAAGGTTTCTTAGGTAAAATAAAAATTGTTTGGCCGGTAATTATTTCACACATTTATGATTTTATAATATAAACAAATTAAATGGAAGGCTTATGTCTAAAAAAAACTTCGGAATTAAAAGAATTCCACCAATCAGATTTAAGAACTAAATTCGACGGGACCAACTAATCCACGACAAATTAGGGACATGAAAAGAAATGACAAAATTAAAGAAAGAAAGACTAATGGACAGATTACAAACCGAAGAAACATAGCCGACCACTTTATTCAATTACAGGACATGTTTCGCGAAGGACATCCTTTGGTTAGACAAGTACTACATGAGCATGGTAGAACCCCAGCCATCATTTTGTATACGGACGAACAAATTACAGACATAAAGAATTTATGCTGTTCGGGTCAAACTATCTGGGGTTTTGATAAGACGTTTAACTTGTGCGATATGCATGTGACCGCATCTTGCTTTAAACACTTGTCCTTGGAAAAACCGAACACTGGTGAGCCCCCACTTTTTTTTTGGACCTGTCTTCATTCACGACAGCAGCGACTTTGAGACATACAGTTCCTTCTTTGCACATTTAAAAATCAAGTTAACAGGAACTGACCTAACCAAGTTAGTGATAGGGACAGACGACGAACAGGCCATGAAGAAAGCTATTACAAATACGTTCCCAGATTCGACATGTGCTTTGTACACGTCATTTACGACAGAATGCTTTGGACAAAATGACGAATTTAGGAATAAACAAGTCTGATCGTAAAAGATTGTTAAACGACATATTTGGACAAGATGGTGTGACGGACGCTGACGATTCAATCACATCTGACGACAGAAGCGACGAACTTCAAACGACATGCCAATCTGTCTCTCCTGAATTTGCAAATTATTTCACAAACAGACTAAAACCTCTCTTAAATGAAAAGGTAAATGAGCCCCAAAGATTAGGTCGTATTGAAAAACAATGGACAAATAATAATTGTGAGTCAGTTAATCATGTATTGAAACATTTGGTAGACTGGAAATCCAAACCTCTGGTTGATTTTGTTGAATCATTTTATAGTCTTGTTCAGGTACAATACAAAGACCTCAGGAGAGCCATACTTTGTACGGGACAGTATAGACTGACTGAACAGTTAGGACGTTACAAGACAGACAAAGTTAGATGGGCATCAATGACTGCAGACCAGAAAGACAGATTAGTATGTAAAGTTAAACTGGGTATTTTCAGAGAAGGGGTAGCAATTTCTACTGACGGACAATCGAAGTATCGACTGCCAAGAACACTGGGGAAAAAACCGGGACAGAGAAAACGACGGAGGACAGAACGGACAGTGACAATTTCAAATAAGAAAAGGAAAAGTGAAACGTAAAGCAATAAAGTATAAGAAAAATATGTTCTATCAGGACGTTTTATATATTACATAAAAACTCTGCATACATGTACTTGTAACATTTAATTGTTTCCTTTCTGTTATTTATTTGAAATATTAAAACGTTAACTTGCATTGATTCTGTTGTCTTCTGTTGTTTTATTTTTCAACATTTTATGACATGCCATCAAAGCAGTATTACATTTTTAGTACAACAGTACTGTTGCATATTATTATAGAGAATAATAAAAGAAACCCTAAATCTAATATACAATAGAACAACATTATTGCTAATGTATAAATTAGATTGAAAAACAACGCAAATTAGAAAAATTAACATCAGGGGTGAAAGCAAAACGGTGTAACAACTACATGTCTAGAAGTATGATACGACCATATATACTTATATTTTATGGTACTTATAAAATGAATGACCAAGCTTTATACAGCTGAAATTTACTTTATAAACGAACACAGCCTATATTTCATGTTCCTTTCTGGTAATACAAGATTTCAAGATTTTATTTCTCTCAGACAACAACAATGTGTGACAAGAGGTCATACATATTGAAACATTTTTAGTACATGACAGGCAGCCATAGTTATAAACATGTTATATATTTGTTGATTTTCCGAAAACATACATTGTAAGCAGCTCAAACATTTTAATATCTAGGACAATCAATGCTAACAATTAACGCAGTCGCATTATAAAATGTATGACAATCGTTGGATAAACATGCTTACATTCATCAATAACTTATTAAAGACTGTGAACATCCCTTTCATTTTGTATCGGTTAGGATATTTACAGTAGTATCCCGGGATATACTTCAGTCTTAGCTGTTTTACTTCACCATTATTACACAAAAATAAAAAATGAAACTCATCTCCTATACCATTATTACACATGGGACATACTCGATCAAGATGTTGTATCCCTCTCCATCTACCTAATTCTACCGGAAATTTAACATTTGCTGTTCTGAATTTACAGATAAATTCTGCATCTTTTTTATTCAACCGTAATAAATAGTCTTCAATACCAAATTCATTTTTGAAAATACTATATACTTGTCCTCTGGACGATTTTTCCATTTCGTCAAACCAAGATTGGACAAACTGGTCCTTCAGTCTCTGAGCAACTTCAGATTTTACTAAGTAAAAAATTGATATGTGGTAAACAAGTTTTCTGAAACATCCATACATGACCTAATCCAACACTGTTTAAAATATTTTTGATGCAGTTTATCCATTTGAATTCTATTTGGCCTGTTTCGTTGAGTGAATACATCAATTTATACATGCAACTAGATAATTTATTCTCATTCAGGATTAGTGAGTACCAATATTTAACCATTCTTAATTTAATATCTATAGTAATAGGATATCTTCCGATTTCTCCGTAGAGCATAAAATTGGTTGTACTTTTCTTCAACCCCAAAATTCTCTTACAAAATTGTAAATGTATCTTTTCAATAAGATAACAGTTCTCATATCCCCATATTTCACTTGAATATAATAAAATCGGGGATACCAATGCATTAAATAATTTCAATTTCAAATCAAGCGGTAAATCAATATTTCTTATTTTCCGGTATACTACAAAAAGGGCTTTTCGAGCTTGCTCAGACAAGCGTTTTTTTGCCGCGGCAAAACTACCATTGTAATTAAAAAGAACTCCTAGGTAGGGGAACGAGCTTTGTATATCAAGTTCGTTATTGTAAAGTAAAAAACTATTTCTAGATTTATTCTTTCTTTTAGAAAAAATGACAATTTTACATAACTGTTTCGGTGCCGTTTCGGTGCCGTTTCGGTGATTCGTCGCACCCGGAAAATCCTATCCCGTAATCCGCAAAGTCTGAGAATCCCGAATCCTTACGTAAATACTTACTAAAGCACAAACCAGTAAACCCGAGGAGAATGGGCTTGTCGAGATGAATTATGCACCTTCACATGCATGAGAATTTTTAAACATTTCTTCTGATTTGAATAAGTCGTACAATTTACCTTTTAATAACCATGTAATTATATTTATACAAACATGTATATAATATTAAAACAATCGCCTGGAGATGGTCGTACCTGTTTAATTTATCTTTTTTACATACGTATATATATATTGTTGTTTGAAGTTGTTTTCATATATTTCACCAGACACTGCTAATTCAACCTTTATATTTGAATACATATACATATATCTACATGAAATAATACACAGTAGCATTGGGTTTAAATTATATATGATACGCATGACACAACCTAAGTGGCCAGATGTTTTAAAACTAGATATTGAGGAGCGGGAATATGGATTCACAACTTCACTCTTAAATCATGTGAAGGGATTTTGAAAAGGACGTAAAGTGAATTGCACCTTCCCATACAACTCCATTAATAGATACATAACTGAGTCAATTGATGAAATAACACAGTTGTTTCGCCTTCCGAGACTCAAGTGATGCTAGGGTACTACAATATTTAAATATAAGAGGCGATTTAGGACACGAGGAATGACCTTTAATCGCATACTTAGTATTTTGGTCAATATCCTTATTTCATGGTAGCATAACTACATATATGACTACAGCAACTTGAGCACCTATGAGAGTCGTAAGCGCAAAAATAAGAGAAGAAAGATTACTCCAACACGAAAAAACCTTTGTCCAATGAAATATTTTATTTTATTTGGTGCGGAAGAGAACAACAAAACGTTACTTCCGGCAATATGTCGGGCTCATCGGTTTTGTCATTATTACGATATTCATCCAGGAATTGGACAAGGAAACTCTATCAAAGAATTTCATTGAATGTACGATACAGTAATTTGTATATTGCCTAGTCTGCAGAACAGACAGTTATATTTCTTGAGAGCCACGACCTGCCACACTTGTGTTGCGACTCGTGTTTCGGTTTGATTTGCAATCTATTTTCAGATTTCTACTTGGGACTCGTTTATATCGGACGTTTGCGATGTCTCACATCAAATGTCCGATATAAATAAGTCCCAGTGAGGAATCACAAAGGGGATTACATGATTTGGTACGATCAGAGGGACTCGTTACAAAATCATTAGAATGTTTCTTTATGTATTAAATCATGAAATGGGTCGGTAGGCATCTGTACAATGTGTACATTCAGGCAGCCAGATTAGTGGGAGCATATCCACACGTAAAGACACAGGTGTTTGAAATTTAATGACGGCCGTAAATTGAGAACTTTCCCTTTTCATTACCTGTTTAATATAGCGACACCCTTTTTTAAAATTCGATTTACGTATTTCTGAATTTACAGTAAGAATTTTAAAAAAAACCTGTGACACAGATACTTGATTAATTGTTCTTCAGCTATTCTTAGCTTTCTTATGCTTGTCATACTTGTTATTAGCATATGTACCCCAAATGTCATTAGTTGTGAAGAAGATAGATCTTTCAAAATTCCCTTGTTTATTGGTGTCACTATATGATTTCATTTCAACAAATTTACAATACATATAAACAATATATGTAAAAGGACTAGACTAAGCCTATATAAATCTTCTCCAGGGTGGCGATAAACTCGAAAACTTGTACGCTATAATAAGTACATCCATACTCACAACATTCAACCATACTATAGTTTCTCATCCATACCAATACAAAGTCTAAGTACTGGCAACTATCAATATAATTAATAAATTAATGAAAATTTGATAATAAATTTTGAAGTATGAATAACTTAAAATAAGAAACTTTCTGTAAGAATATTATGTATAAAGTACATATATGTAACAAGTATATAGATTAACATCCTAATCATTTCCTTTCTATGATATTTTTTTTGCATGAGATCAAACAAAATTGTTGATTTCAAGGGAGAAATTTATATTTCCAGGTGTCAGTAGTTGAACATATAGATAGCCAGTTCTGGTATAGATATTTTGGATTGAGTTTCTGGAAGTGGAATAAGTGGTATAAATGACCTTGACCCACTTTCAAAATCACATGGGTCAAATATGTGTCAATATTTAAACAACTTCTCAATAACCAAAAGGCCCAAGCCTGTAGCATGCATGGAGTTAGGGCTACCATATTTGTCAATATGAATGTCCTTGACTCTCTTTTAGGGTCACAGGGGTAAAATGTGTTGAAATATTTAAACAACTTCTTCTCAATTACCAAAAGGTCCATTGTGCTGATATTAGGCCTGTAGTATGCTGGGATGCAGGGCAACCAAGTTTGTTCACCTTGACCTACTGTCAAGGTCACAGGTCAAATGTGTTGAAATGCAAAGTAATGGCATTTGGGTAATGAATTGATTTTTAGTTTGCAGAAAATGTTTTTATGATCCAATCAATGTCTTCTATGTAAGCTGCAGTGTAGTTGAGCAATTTATTTGACATATTTGGCCTCAATCATATATAGGTCTGATAGTTAGATGACCCGTAAGGACTGTGCACTCTTGTTTATGTTTGTTTGTTTCTTTATTTTCCTTTCTGTAAAAAACTAAAATGATCAATCAGTGTATTTGAAATCATGAATTAATGATGTCACATTGGGAAAATTGTGCCAGGTGTATCATCAGCTATTCAGAACTCTGCTAGATTATGTTTCACATATATGCAATACCAAAATTTTGTAATGGGAATTATAACACTGATAGCAAGGAATGGTGTTGTGATATTAAATATTATTTCACATATGAAACATTTATCAACATGTATGAAACTTTTTTATGTATGTCCTGGATATAATGTTGTGTACCAATCATTTAAGGTTATCTCTCGGTCTGTTTGTGAAAAGAGACCATTCTGGAACTGTATGCCAAACATCAGCTGCCACCAGCACTCGTTCACCAACCGTCCAGCTAGCATTGATCCTTGCAGGAACTACTGCACCAGCAGGTACAGATACTTCAAAAAGTTCCATAACTCTTCTGTCATTTGTCCACGTGAAAAAGAAACTCCAGTCTGGACCCTAATTAGTTTATAAATGTTGAAACAGGACTCATGATCCTCGTGAACCATTGGGTTGTTGTTGTGACATTGTCATTGTATTCTATTTACACCTACTAGTAACTAGATCCAAAAGAACAATGTAGAGAAGTCCTGTATCACAAGAGGTCTTCTTTGTCAATTTGATTATGTTGATGTGCTTGAAATTGGACTATAAATTGACTAAAATTAAAATCTGCAAGTTCAATAATACATGCAATTTTACAGAAAAAGCTGAATATGAAACACTGGTGAAAATTATTCTCATATAATAGTTTGAGCTACAGTGCTTGTTGCAGGAAAATTATATAAATACAGACACTTGTAATTGCTTAATTGATTACCATTGTGTATAGCAGTGTAAGCTTTGAATTAATTTCTATATATAATGATATATTTTTTTCTTTTTCAATTAGAATGAGATTTGTAAGTTTCCTGTTGCTTCTTCTGCAGTTTATCTGAGATGAGATATGAGGAGCTAGCAGAGGAAGTACTAGAATGTCTGTCAGAAAAGTTTGATGACATAGCAGAGACTGTGGTTTGTGATGAAGAATTTGATGTTTCATATGGAGTAAGTACACACATGAAGATAAAACAATATGGTTATCCTGCTAGTTCCACTGTAGTTTGGATTAATGTAGCTTGGGTTTTTGATAAGCAGTCTGTGGCCATCGCAAATGCAGAGGTATTTAATGGTGTGGTTATTTGTTCAGTTTTGATTTTTGTTAAGTGGAAAAGCATTTGTCTTCCATGCATTAAGCTCCTGTTTTATTTTATACCATCATCTCAATATGAAAAAATCTGGGCTTATATTTATTCTTGGACAAAATACTATCATTTTCATGTTTTTTCACAGTTTGACCTACTTTTAAGGTCAATTTTTGGTAACATGGGTCAAATCTGAACCTTCAAATGACCTTGTGAATGACAAGAGAGACAGATCATGATATTTAGCATCTGGCAAGAAGCCCATATATGTGTGCTGTTCTATTGATAGAATTAACAGATATTCCTTTCCTGGTCATTATTGTATTTTTTCAAGCTAGAGACAGTTTTATACATTATTGTAGGTTTCATTGAATGGTATTTATTAATCATAATTAGACATGGATGAAAAGAAACGCCAAAAAAGTCTTTGAATAAACATTTTATAGAAGACAAAAAATTGTGGAATATAAATTTTGGCAAATGTTTAAGTTTGGATGCTTCCAAATACTATTAATTGCACACTGAAAATTGAACTTAACCATTTTCAAAAATCAGAGGAAACAATAAGTGACTAAGAGGTAAGCAATAAAAGCCTACTTTAAATGAACTGTTTGATTTTACACGGCTTAACTTGATCATTATTGCTTAAGTTTGCAAGTTTAATTTTGCAAACTTGTATTCAATCCATAGCATAACACTTTGTGGTATATTTTGATTGGAGGCATTAGAGGGGTCATACATAAGTAACTATAAACATCTAGGTCAAAGTTTTGATCAGACATACATCACCGAGCATAATCATCGTTATTGATGAAGTTCTGTAATCCCTCTGAAGGAGAATAAATAAAAAAGAAGAAAAAGAACAGAACATATAAATACTGTATGTTGTTCTTCAACAGATCTGTGTTTTGTTACATCAACTTTTGTTCTGAGAAATCATATAATTATTCCAACAGTTGGTGATCAGTGGATATTGGAAGGCGATTTATCAAGAGTTCAATATGAATCTTTAATTGTCATGTTGCAGAGTGGAGTTTTAACAGTAAAAATTAGTAGAGACTGGGGCACTTATGTGATAAATAAACAGACACCTAACAAACAAATATGGCTGTCTTCTCCTGTGAGGTAAGTCTCTGAAGCAATTCAAAACTGAAAATAAACTGGATATATATCCCATTACCACTGATGCTGAAAAGTCTCCTGTTTGTGGTTTGGTTTTAAAACAAGTTTAAATAGAACTGAATTCGTACGGTACTGTATTCAATCTAATAAACATACAGGGAAAGAGGATGGGTGCACTAGTCAAAACCTATTAGAACATTATTAACCCAACTGATCTGCTGATGTTATCTAAATCTTTTAACAAAGACTCTGTAATAGAGCATAAAAAAAGACCCGCTCTATTACTAAGTCAACAGCAATGTATGAGCGGATGTAACTGTTAGTAGTTGGCAGTTATAACTAGAGGTGTAACAATAAATCAAACTATCTACAAATTCCAACAAATCTGTTCCAATATTATAAATGGATTGTAAATTAAAATTTGATAACTATTGTTGTCCGTTCTTTCAACCATTGATGTTTTTGATAGTTTGGTAGTAATAACATCTCATCATAATTTTCATTGTTGCCTTTTGGAAGTCCCTGACATGGGAATTCCAGTAATCCCAAAATAGAAATATCTGTAGATGTCAAATGCTTTGCTACACTAATTGAGGAAGGTCACTCTTACTTAGCAAAATATGAGAGTATGGTTGCAGAATTCACAATTGTTGAAAACCCTTTGTATTTACACAAGAATACATGCTGCCCTGTCAATTAACTTAAAGAGGTTTCTACAAAAGCAAATCCTATTTTCACAACAAAAACATGTGAATAATCTTGGAATTTACTATGAATATGAATGCCATCACCATTGGGAATCACAGGATGGCTCATTCTCATTTTTCACATGTAGGTTTCCCCTCAATCACTAGCTTTGTCCTTTTTATTTTGGGACTGCTCAGAAAATCAAAATGGGCAACTTGTGACCATCTTTGATTTGAGAGTTAAAAATTATTACTACTGTTTAATGTAATTAAAAGCAAAAGGTTATCATGAGAGGATAAGTCAAAACACCTGTTCATCAAATATGTACAAAATGTGATGTATATTGGATATTCTGCTTGCTCTTAGTATTGTGTTTTCAAATGTTATTAACTACTTTTGATAAAGGATCAGTCTGTCTTTATTTGTACAAAATTTGCTATATATACCAACATTGATTACAGTGACACAATATCTGATAAATTAATGAAGGAGAATAGCAATCTTTTTTCTTGTAAAGTCATCCTACTGCTTACATTTTATTTCTGCTGAAAAACCATTTACCACCACTGTTGAAACAATTTTAGGTTTTTAAAATTTTTTTTAGTGGGCCAAAAAGGTATGATTACATAGATGGACGATGGATATACAAACATGATGGTGTGGCAATGATGGACTTATTAACAAAGGAGGTTTCTGATGCTCTATCTACACACATTGACTTTACAGCATGTGAACTGGAAGACACATAGCTCACAATGGATTTATAATTCTGGATATCTATGTGATGTATAATGTGTGAAAGACGTTTTGAATGTTTTTGTTTGCTTCATGAAACTGAACACATATATTGAATATGTATAATTAAAAACAAATTTACTGCAAAACAGAAGTATTAAACAACTGAGAAATCTTTTCAATTATTGTACATGTATATATCATTGACACAGTAAAATTTCTACTGTATGTACAACCTAGGCTACTTATATTTTTAGGGGCATTATACAATTTGCATTTGGAATGTGCTGTACATGGATTGCCTAATCATTAGAAACTTTCCCATGGTAGAAAAGAAGGGAAGAGATATCAGTTTTTATTTGCTAAGATGCTAAACATCTTCTGACAAATATTTTTCTGTCAATCCCCCAGCCAAGACAAGGAATGCTGCATTGTAAAGTCTCCAGAATCTACATTGCTTCTCTTTGATCAGTTTCTTGTGTAAAGAAAAGTAGTGTTATACTTCTAACAAAATGTATAAAAATACATTTCGAAATATTTTCAATTAAGTCACTAGATTAAAAGTTCAACCAGCAGAACATTTGAGTGTGATGTTTCAATCACTAATAGAATCTTCCCCTACCCAGAGGGTATGAAAGAGAAAGCTCCAACCCGAGAGGTGATTTTTTTTTTGTTTTCTAACCCGAGGATCTGCCGAGGGTAAGACTACGAATAAAAATCACCCCTAGGGTTGGAGATTTCTTTGCCACTCCCTCTTAGGGTAGGCAATGATTATTTTTCTACCAACCCATTATTTCTGCCACAACATCAAAAAAAAAAAAGAAGAAGAAGAAAATCCCACGGTACAAGTGTCTGAACGGCACATGAAGATCACCATTCACGATTCATGACGTCAACGTTTGCATGTTACGAATCATTACGCAACATAATATAGATCATAAAAAATCAATCATATTTATTAATTAATCATTTCAATATAGTAATAATTCCTACTTCGAAGTTCATGATTGATACCAATTCTGTTATGTTAAGTTTGGATTTGCTTCATGATACCGATAGTTAGCAGTCAAAGTTTGTTTACAATCCAAAAGTAGTTCCGGTCGAACTTCTGGTTTAGCACATGCTAATCGGCACGAGGCTATCTCCCCCTAGGGGGTGACAAGCTGATCTATCCAGTCTAAAACAGGAGACATGACTGTGAATGGTTGGAGAACACATGGCCACCTTCATCAGAAAAATGACCAGTGTGAAGCGCACAAGCACTGATGCAAATAGTGTATGAGATGGAAGGAATCAAGTTTTTCAGCTTTACAATAATCACATGTACATTAAGGTCAAATAATAATGTGATGAGATGGTAAATAGATTATAGAAAAAAGTACATAATGCTATGCTTTGTTTTATAGTTGGTCATAGATGTACGAGAATCCCTGTTTACTACCAGTCAACTGTGGCATATGCAGATGGCCTCTTTTCCCTGTCAACAATTGTTGAATTTTCCCAGTCATTGAATTATTTGATTTTGCTGCATGAAGTGATCTGTAAGAGCTGATTTATTGATCTGGGGCTAAGACAGCCTTCACTCTGATATGATGAATTTTTGCCTTCTTGGGATTTTGCATCTTTCTGGTGTTCATTATGTTGGACCAAGACAAATCTCCTGCCCGTTTCTCAGATTGCATAGACTCTCACACATTTATGATCAAGTGTTAAGCAAAGGGTAGCTGAATCCACTACAGTTCATTGTGGTCTATTATCTGTTTACCATTGTCACACATGCATGTATAAGGTATTTAAGAGCGCACCTGGCCAGAACAGCCAAGTGAACTTACGCTGTGGTGTATTGTCCATCCATCAGGCATCAACTGACCAACTTTTGAGGTCACAAGTTAATGTGTTCAAAAATCTTCAAACAACTTCTTCTCAGTAAGGGAAAGGCCAATGGTAATGATATTTGAGCGTTAGCATATTGGGATTACCAAGATTGTTCAAATGAATGACCTCGACCTACTCTCAAGGTCACATAATGTTATATGCTCGTTATTGTTTTATTCTGATAATTGCAGCTGCAGCAATCCTTGCAATACCAGGATGATCTATTCTTGAATATAAGTGAGAAAAGAGAGAATATGATCCAGGTACAAAATGTATTCATCAGACAGTATGTCTATGCCTGGTAATAGAGTTAATTGTTTTACTATTGAGTGGAATGATCAACATTTTTTGAATTGTGTTGTCCTGTTATAAACACACTCCCTAAAAGAAGGACATAAACAATGTACAAGATCATTTTAATGTTCATGATGATGAATAGTGTACAAAATGGGTTTAATGTTTATGATAATGATAGTACATGATAATGATAACATTGATTACTGTTATTTGGATACAAATGGATGATATCCTTGTTGTACAAGTAGTTTTAGAGGACGAAACAGCTGATTTTGAGGTGGAAGTTCATCCCAATTTGTCCACTGCCACCCTACAAAGGAATATAAAAGTCATTAGTTCGAACCAGTTTGTTATTGAGCCCTGCAAGTGAAAGTAAAATAATACTTGAATCTGTTAGTGATATAAACATTATTTAATAATCTTATCCTTTTCATTTTAACCAATCTTGCATAGATATGCCAAAAAAAGAGGAATTTGTGTAAAAGTAAACAGTTGAATAAATCAATAAATATCTAAGATCAAAAACTAAATTTTCATTTTCAAAGAAGTGAGTGTCAAGCATAATGTTTAACATTGGTCAGACGAATTGTCTGAGATGACCCAACAAATGAAGTTACCAACCTTCACATTTATGTGGCTCTAGGTTCTGTGGTTCTGAGCTTACTGTCATGTCCACTTCCCCACGTACAAACAAAGTGATGTAGTGGTAGTCCTCTGTTAGCTTTATTGCATTGACCACACTAACAAATGCCATGTCCTTCAAGACCAATCCTGTTTCCTCCAGCGCCTCACGAGACCCACACTCACACCATTCCTCCCTGGAAATCAGATAGGTTGATAGCTATCTTATGCTAAAACTACACATTTTACAGTCCGATTCTGATAAAGAACTATAAGATTCTGTTATTTTTCTGTTAATTTGCTTGTGGTGCAGAGGCAATGGTGGCAAAGTTTGGTAAATTGCATTGGTGAAAGTACAGTAGCTTTTCAACAGTATATGTCCTGCAGTTGATATGGTCATAGAACAGAAAGAGCACAGTTTTGATAACTATGAATTATATGATGCTGTAATTTGTACAATGTATGATTACAGAAACTCAACCAAGTATATAATTAATCATTAGATAATGCTTATTTTCAAATTATCACACACATAATTTTGTAAAAGTAATCAGATCTTGGTTAGGCTAACATTGTGTCCTCCAAGAAATATTCTGTAATTCAAAAATTTCAGAACCTTTTCATGCATGTTTTTCCCCTTGAAAATTAAAAACTTACCCAAATTCTAAGTGCCCACCAGGAAATGCAAACAGCCCAACCCCAGTAGATCCTTTTCTCACCCCTAACAACACACAACCAGGATGGTTGGGACTTGTTACTATTACACCCACACCAACACCAGGACGGTTGTGCTGATTTAATGTAGGTGCTGCAGGTTCCCTGGAACTTTGTGCAGTGATGTCAGCAGTTTCTTTGAAAGGATGATAGCCTTGTTGCAGAAGGAGACGAAGAGGAAGAAACAACTGATCCAAAGGAGGAAGGTTGTCCCAATCAAACCAATGCCAACCTGATCATGCCCAGGAAAAAATGTTCATAGGATATAACAATATTGGCCATGTCTTGTCATGACACTTTTACCTAATGACAGTTTTACAGAAGATACTGCAGTATACAACTTAGTCATTATTTTCAGACTATTTAGTGCTAAATGCCAAAAGGGAGGTAATTCTCAACTAGTCCTCAAATGTAGAAGGGTAGATATACACATATCCAGACTATGGGGTTTAGTGTTTTATGCCAAGCCTTTTTGTGGTAACTCCATGTAAAAGAAATATAGGCAGTCATGCACATGCAAAAACTTCATGCTCTGGACAATTATGTCAAGGTCTTCTCTTGTGTAGGAATTTCAGGAAAAGTGTTTTACAAAAGCCTGTGGTGAATGACATTATCAAAACCACACAAGAAAATGAGCCCAAACAATGAGTTGGGAAAGAGTATGATTATTTAATTTATAATTACTCCCATGTCGAAAAGGTGGGATCCCCTAAAGAACTGCAGGGATAGGCTTCCTAACTTTTTTTTTTACCTTTTCTGAAAGAACAAGACCAAATTAATATTTCCATCCATGAAGTGCTTTTTTGATAGCATTGGTTTCATTGTATCCCAACTCATATGCAATCAATGGTTGTTGTGTGGAAGAAACCACAATCAAGATAAATCTGCATTATTATCTTAAGCAAGATGAAAATTTAAATAGCTCATTATATGCATCTCCATAAATTTCAGGAATTTCCTGCTATATTGACAAGGAGCAGATACCGGTATAGACCTTCACTTTTATGTTGCTCCTTGTTAGTGGGCTCCCCATTGTGAGTGTTGTCCACTTCCCCACGTACAAACAGGTCAATATAATGAAGGTTTTCTGTGTCCATTACAGTATTGACCACACCACAATACGTCATGTCCTGCACCACTAATCCAGTCTCCTCCATCAGTTCTCTGGCCCCACACTCGCACCATCCCTCGCTATATAAAATAAATGTACAATTACACATACATATATGCAGGCTTGTGAAATTAAATTTGGGATATCAATGTATCAACTATTTTTATACCCAAGATGTTCATAAGGTGTCAGGGTATGTATAAATACCATATCTATAGTGTTATGTCGTCTCGAAACCGAACCCCTGTGACATATCTCAATAAAGCAATAGGGCAATTATCAGGTTATGCCTGTTTGAATTGTTCTTTGTGCATTGGAGATTTTCTGCAGCACGAGTATGTGGTGTAATGGTAAAAATGTATTACCTACTGATTTTAATAAATATTTATCTTATTTAAGAGTTACTTCCCTTCCATTGGTAGAAAGTGCAATATATTTTTTTATTTAGGTTACTAGGTACACAGATTGCGGAACGACTATAGCTACTTCTGAGGGACATTTGATCACGTATCGGAATCCAGGAAGCCATATATTAGGTAATAGCGAGACAAAGCTTAATACAGTTCCATGACAACAAAAATATACAGAGGGATTTAGTCAACTTTTCCACGTTTACTAAGGGCGCTTTCGCGCAAGCAGTTGAACCGTTTGCCAAAAAAAAAAAAAAAAACACACACACACACACCAGGTACAGATCGGTGCCGAGGCTGGACTGCGGAATATTTGGCACGTGCAGTTTGAGGGGTCCAACCACATCAATCCGAAACTAATTCGCTGAATATAATTAGTTTTCTGAATTTCAGCACAAAACGTATGGTCACGACTCACATATTTCCGAGAGCATTGTGCTATAAAGTGTGAGTGAAATGGAGGATATCTAATTTTAATGCTTGAAACGTTCCGAAACTATATTTTTAGCTTTACATATATCAAGTCGAACATCATGTACAAGTGTGTGCGCGTACAGTGGATTAATTCCGGACGACCTGGATCGATTCAACTGGATTACGCGAATGCAGCCATACTATATAGTCTTGACAACAAATTGGAGATATAATTCTTTTCCTTTTATTTTCTTGTTCTGTGCTGCAGAGATAGTTACTTATCTTACCCGAATTCCAAATGACCACCTGGTAATGCATACAATCCGTTACCGGCAGAATTCTTCCGTTTTCCTAACAACACACAGTTAGGATGATTTTTATTGGTAACTATCGTACCAACACCAACTTTTGGACAGGTTCGTTGTTTGTATATGGGCGCCGCCATATTGTCGCCGGCCAAATGCTGTTGCAATCTCTCCCATAGTGCATTGCAGTACCGTTTACGAGTGTAAGAAACGACAACTCTGGTAGAGATTGATATTTAGAGGGTCCTAAGTTAGAGTCAAGTACATTAATCGGACCTAATTTGTAGGCGACATTTGAGAAGAATTTCATTTCCTTTTTTGGCGGGGGTTGGGGGTTGGTTTGAAGTAACATTTTCCTATTTATTTGTTAGATTACACCTTTTATGTAGTCTACCTCATTTTTAAAAAAAAGTTTTTCGTCCTTAAAACCGCCAAAAACAAATATGCTACATGACAATGTCATTATTTGAAACACTTAATAATGTTAATTAATGTAGGTAGGAATCTTTTCAATTTGTCATTTTTTCTTTGAAACTATTTCTTCGTGGAAATGTGCAAACTAAGGGAACAATTTGTAGCAACAATGATTTTAGACTGATCTCACAAAACTCGTTTTAAAGGTAGGACATGTAGGTTCCTCTTTCTATGCATTGTATCACGATGGAAGTGTATTCACAATATTTCACGGCCGAATCAGATACACATAAAACATATACAGAATGTTGTAGTCCGAATCAGATACACATAAAACATATACAGAGGTGTTGTAGTCCGAATCAGATACACATACAACATATACAGAATGTTGTAGTCCGAATCAGACACACATAAAACATATACAGAATGTTGTTGTCCGAATCAGATACACATACAACATATACAGAATGTTGTAGTCCGAATCAGATACACATAAAACATATACAGAATGTTGTAGTCCGAATCAGACACACATACAACATATACAGAGGTGTTGTAGTCCGAATCAGATACACATAAAACATATACAGAATGTTGTTGTCCGAATCAGACACACATAAAACATATACAGGGTGTTGTAGTCCGAATCAGACACACATAAAACATATACAGAGGTGTTGTAGTCCGAATCAGATACACATAAAACATATACAGAATGTTGTAGTCCGAATCAGACACACATAAAACATATACAGAATGTTGTAGTCCCGAATCAGATACACATACAACATATACAGAATGTTGTAGTCCCGAATCAGATACAGATAAAACATATACAGAATGTTGTAGTCCCGAATCAGATACACATACAACATATACAGAATGTTGTAGTCCGAATCAGATACACATAAAACATATACAGAATGTTGTAGTCCCGAATCAGATACACATACAACATATACAGAATGTTGTAGTCCGAATCAGATACACATAAAACATATACAGGGTGTTGTAGTCCGAATCACATACACATAAAACATATACAGAATGTTGTAGTCCGAATCAGATACACATAAAACATATACAGGGTGTTGTAGTCCGAATCACATACACATAAAACATATACAGAATGTTGTAGTCCGAATCAGATACACATAAAACATATACAGAGGTGTTGTTGTCCGAATCACATACACATACAACATATACAGAATGTTGTAGTCCGAATCAGATACACATACAACATATACAGAATGTTGTAGTCCGAATCAGATACACATAAAACATATACAGAATGTTGTAGTCCGAATCAGATACACATACAACATATACAGAATGTTGTAGTCCGAATCAGATACACATAAAACATATACAGAATGTTGTAGTCCGAATCAGATACACATAAAACATATACAGAGGTGTTGTTGTCCGAATCACATACACATAAAACATATACAGAATGTTGTAGTCCGAATCAGATACACATAAAACATATACAGGGTGTTGTAGTCCGAATCACATACACATAAAACATATACAGAATGTTGTAGTCCGAATCAGATACACATAAAACATATACAGAGGTGTTGTTGTCCGAATCACATACACATAAAACATATACAGAATGTTGTTGTCCGAATCAGATACACATAAAACATATACAGGGTGTTGTAGTCCGAATCACATACACATAAAACATATACAGAATGTTGTAGTCCGAATCAGATACACATAAAACATATACAGAGGTGTTGTTGTCCGAATCACATACACATACAACATATACAGAATGTTGTAGTCCGAATCAGATACACATACAACATATACAGAATGTTGTAGTCCGAATCAGATACACATAAAACATATACAGAATGTTGTAGTCCGAATCAGATACACATACAACATATACAGAATGTTGTAGTCCGAATCAGATACACATAAAACATATACAGAATGTTGTAGTCCGAATCAGATACACATAAAACATATACAGAGGTGTTGTTGTCCGAATCACATACACATAAAACATATACAGAATGTTGTAGTCCGAATCAGATACACATACAACATATACAGAATGTTGTAGTCCGAATCAGATACACATACAACATATACAGAGGTGTTGTAGTCCGAATCAGATACACATAAAACATATACAGAATGTTGTTGTCCGAATCAGATACACATACAACATATACAGAATGTTGTAGTCCGAATCAGATACACATAAAACATATACAGAATGTTGTAGTCCCGAATCAGATACACATACAACATATACAGAATGTTGTAGTCCCGAATCAGATACACATAAAACATATACAGAATGTTGCAGTCCGAATCAGATACACATACAACATATACAGAATGTTGTAGTCCGAATCAGATACACATAAAACATATACAGGGTGTTGTAGTCCGAATCACATACACATAAAACATATACAGAATGTTGTAGTCCGAATCAGATACACATAAAACATATACAGGGTGTTGTAGTCCGAATCACATACACATAAAACATATACAGAGGTGTTGTTGTCCGAATCACATACACATACAACATATACAGAATGTTGTAGTCCGAATCAGATACACATAAAACATATACAGAATGTTGTAGTCCGAATCAGATACATAAAACATATACAGAGGTGTTGTAGTCCGAATCAGACACACATAAAACATATACAGAATGTTGTAGTCCGAATCAGATACACATACAACATATACAGGGTGTTGTAGTCCGAATCACATACACATAAAACATATACAGAGGTGTTGTTGTCCGAATCAGATACACATAAAACATATACAGAATGTTGTAGTCCGAATCAGATACACATACAACATATACAGAATGTTGTAGTCCGAATCAGATACACATACAACATATACAGAATGTTGAAGTCCGAATCAGATACACATACAACATATACAGAGGTGTTGTAGTCCGAATCAGATACACATAAAACATATACAGAATGTTGTAGTCCGAATCAGATACACATACAACATATACAGAATGTTGTAGTCCGAATCAGATACACATACAACATATACAGAATGTTGTAGTCCGAATCAGATACACATAAAACATATACAGAGGTGTTGTAGTCCGGATCAGACACACATAAAACATATACAGAATGTTGTAGACCGAATCAGATACACATACAACATATACAGAGGTGTTGTTGTCCGAATCAGATACACATAAAACATATACAGAATGTTGTAGTCCGAATCAGATACACATACAACATATACAGAATGTTGTAGTCCGAATCAGATACACATACAACATATACAGAGGTGTTGTAGTCCGAATCAGATACACATAAAACATATACAGGGTGTTGTAGTCCGAATCAGATACACATACAACATATACAGAATGTTGTAGTCCGAATCAGATACACATAAAACATATACAGAATGTTGTAGTCCGAATCAGATACACATAAAACATATACAGAGGTGTTGTTGTCCGAATCAGATACACATAAAACATATACAGAATGTTGTAGTCCGAATCAGATACACATAAAACATATACAGGGTGTTGTAGTCCGAATCACATACACATAAAACATATACAGAATGTTGTAGTCCGAATCAGATACACATAAAACATATACAGAGGTGTTGTTGTCCGAATCACATACACATAAAACATATACAGAATGTTGTAGTCCGAATCAGATACACATAAAACATATACAGGGTGTTGTAGTCCGAATCACATACACATAAAACATATACAGAATGTTGTAGTCCGAATCAGATACACATAAAACATATACAGAGGTGTTGTTGTCCGAATCACATACACATACAACATATACAGAATGTTGTAGTCCGAATCAGATACACATAAAACATATACAGAATGTTGTAGTACACATAAAACATATCAGATACACATAAAACATATACAGAATGTTGTAGTCCGAATCAGACACACATACAACATATACAGAATGTTGTAGTCCGAATCAGATACACATAAAACATATACGAATCAGATACACATAAAACATATGTTGTAGTCCGAATCAGACACACATAAAACATATACAGAGGTGTTGTAGTCCGAATCAGATACACATAAAACATATACAGAATGTTGTAGTCCGAATCAGATACACATAAAACATATACAGAATGTTGTAGTCCGAATCAGATACACATAAAACATATACAGAATGTTGTAGTCCGAATCAGATACACATACAACATATACAGAATGTTGTAGTCCGAATCAGATACACATAAAACATATACAGAATGTTGTAGTCCGAATCAGATACACATACAACATATACAGAATGTTGTAGTCCGAATCAGATACACATAAAACATATACAGAATGTTGTAGTCCGAATCAGACACACATAAAACATATACAGAATGTTGTTGTCCGAATCAGATAGACATACAACATATACAGGGTGTTGTAGTCCCGATACACATAAAACATATACACATACACATAAAACATATACAGAATGTTGTAGTCCGAATCAGATACACATAAAACATATACAGAATGTTGTGTCCGAATCAGATACACATAAAACATATACAGAATGTTGTAGTCCGAATCAGATACACATACAACATATACAGAATGTTGTAGTCCGAATCAGATACACATAAAACATATACAGAGGTGTTGTAGTCCGAATCAGATACACATAAAACATATACAGAATGTTGT